TGGCCATTTGGGGAATGAACCAGTGGATAAAAGATCTCTTTTTCTGTCATTCTGCCTTTCAAGTAAATAAAATATGTTTAAAAAAAAAAAAAAGGCAAACAAGCAAGCGTGCAAGCACTGCCAGAGCATATGACCCTTTACCAAGCGCCCCCCGCCCCCCAGACCTTTTACCTCTAGGCTGACCCTTTCCAGTTTAAGGCCACTGCCCTCTGCTCTAGGGTGATTCCCATTCCTCTGGCCATTTCTAGACATGTCCTTTCCAAAATAAAGGATTTACTGCCTGGAAAAACAAAGCAAGGCTTACAAACATATATATAGGTTAAAAAAAAATCTTAATAGCCAGTCTTTTGACATTTTATTTATCTTCTTCAAGTTTTAGTTCATTAATTTCAGAAAAATATTCCTAGAAAGTCTTCTGAGCACATTAGGCAAGGGGAGGGAAGAATTCAGAGAATGATAAAGATCCTCTCATCTGGTACCCTACTCCACTGTTCACTGGTTCGCACCAGTCTTTTCTGACATGAAATTCTAGGATCATTCCCTATACTTCATGGCACCAAAGTTTGAGAAATTTTACGAAGTTCTTAAATCCATAAAGACCTTGACTATCAGTTCTTAATTTTATTTCCTTAAACTTCCCAACTTACCTGTGTGTGTCTGCACTACTCTTCCCCGCCCCATTCAGAGTAGGGCGTGACAGTGACGGATTTCTGGAAGTGACAGCTAAATGAGACCTGAAGGACTAATAGAAATTTTTTTTTCACTCAATTTTTTTTTTTTTTTGACAGGCAGAGTGGATAGTGAGAGAGAGAGACAGAGAGAAAGGTCTTCCTTTGCCGTTGGTTCACCCTCCAATGGCCGCCACTGCTGGAGTGCTGCGGCCGGCACACCGCGCTAATCCGAAGGCAGGAGCCAGGTACTTATCCTGGTCTCCCATGGGGTGCAGGGCCCAAGCACCTTGGCCATCCTCCACTGCACTCCCGGGCCACAGCAGAGAGCTGGCCTGGAAGAGGGGCAACCGGGACAGAATCCGGTGCCCCGACTGGGACTAGAACCCGGTGTGCCGGCGCCGCTAGGTGGAGGATTAGCCTAGTGAGCCATGGCGCCGGCAGGGCTAATAGAAATTAAGTAGTAAGGGGAGGCAGAGTGGACAATAATCTATGTGCAAAAAAACACTTCTAAAACAAACAATTTCAGTGTACAGTGGTCAGACGAAAGGCTGTAACAAGGAAATACTGCTCGTTTAAGCTACAGAGGTACTGAGGGGCCGGACTATGAATGACCACTTAAAACCAACCTAAGCAGTCCGGATTTCATTCTGAGGATGGTAGGGAGCCATAAAAGTGTTTTAAACAGGAGAGAAAGGTGATCAGATTGTGTTTCAGATAAAGCACTAACAAAATGGGTCAAGGATTCAAAGGGATGCATCTGGAAACATCCATCAGCAGCATAGACCAGATCCTGAGCGAATGTTAAACTGAAGTGGAAAACTGAGGGACAGATGGGGGAAGATGGTCAGGACACTGGGAAGAAGTAATGGACAGCTCTGCCCCAACTTGCCCTTCCTTAAATAGGTGCAACCCTGTCTCTAATTTAAGGCAGGTACCAACCTTGACAGCTACAGCCATTTTTTTTTCCAAGTAGCCATTTCATTCACTGTTTTCAACACTTTTTTTTTTTAAATCAAGGTATCATTTTAACATTTTAAACAAATAAAACTTATTTGAAAACATTCTTGTATTAATGGCCATCTTCCATAAGTTAGACGCTGATTTAGGCCCGTGTATTACAACAAAACTAAGTTCTTGCTCTCCTGTGGCTGACTTTTTTTTCCTAGTAGCAGAAGCAAAAAAAATGCTGAAATAAATAAACAGCATGACAAACAGTAATAAGCAGGAAAGCAGAATGAGAGTGACAACTAATATGGGGAGGGTATGGTGATGGTGGTGAAGGTTGCTATTTAAGGTATGAAAGTTGGGGAAGTCCTTACTGATAAGGCAAAGTTTGAATGAAAATGTGAAAAAACCAGCCATAAGCATTGCTGAAAAGAGATGACCATGAGGACAGCAAGGAGCCCAAACGTGCTGGAGTGGTGTGAACAAAGGGGTATGGCAGAATATGAGGTGAGAGAAGTAGGGCTTGGGGGAACAGATGATGTCTATTCTTGGAGTGCACCATCCTTTGGATATTTTATTCTGTGTGACATGGGAAGCTACTGATGGGTTTTATGCAGAGGGGGATGGATCAGTTTAAATTATTACTTAAGACCAGTTTTTAATTTTTTTAAAAAAAATTTACTTATTTATTTGAAAGGCAGAATGATCCAGGAAGAGATACAGAGAAGAGAAAGGGAGAGATTGATCTTACATCCACTGGTTTATTCCCCAAATAGCTGCAATAGCCAAGCTGGGTCAAGCAGAAGCCAGGAACCACAAACTCCATCCTGGTCTCCCACATGGCAGGGGTCCAAATATTTGGACCATCTTCCTCTGCCTTCCCAGCCACATTAGCAGGAAGCTGGATTGAAGTGGAGCAACCAGGACTCAAAACAGAACTCTAATAAGGATGCTGGATGCCAGCATAGCAAGTGGAGTCTTAACCTGCTATGCCACAATGCCAGTCCAAATAAATAAATCTTAAAAATAGGGAAGTCATATATGCAATATGCTTGCATATGTTGTATATATCATATAGGTAATATGTTGAAGATGTCAGATATATGAATCAGAAGTTCAAAAGTGAGGGGTAGTGTAAATATATTAAAGAACAATACATTTGGACTAGCATTGTGGTGCAGCAGGTTAAGCTGCCTCCTGCAACGCAGGTATCCCATACAGGCATCAGTTTGAATCCTGGCTGCTCCCCTTCTGATCCGGCTCCCTGCTAATGCCCCTGGGAAAGCTAATGCCCTTGGGAAGATGGCCCAAGTACTTGGGCCCCCGCACCCATATGACAGACCGAATGGAGTTCCAGGCTCCTGGCTTCAGCTTGGCCCAGCCAGCCCTGGCTGTTGCAGTTATTTGGGGAGTTAACCAGCAGATAGATCTCTTGTCTCTCCTTCCTCTCTCTGTAACTCTGCCTTTCAAATAAATAAATAAATTTTTATTAAAAATAGGCATATATTGGCACATAGATTATTTTTTTACTTTTTAAGATTTATTTATTTATTTGAAAGGCAAAGTTACACAGAGAGAGAAGGAGGGGCAGAGATAGTGAGGTCTTCCATCCGCTGGTTCACTCTCCAGTTGGCCACAATGGCCGGAGCTGTGCCTATTTAAAGCCAGGAGCCAGGAGTTTCTTCTGGGTTTCCCACGCGGGTACAGGGGCCCAAGGACCTGGGCTATCTTCTACTGCTTTCCCAGGCCATAGCAGAGAGCTGGGTCAGAAGAGGAGCAGCCGGGCTTGAACCATTGCTCATATGGGATGCTGGCACTGCAGGAGGTGGTGTGGGAGACCTGGAAAAAGCTCCAGGCTTCTGGCTTTGGATGGGCCCAGCCCCACGCATTTGGGGAATAAAACAGTGGATTGGAAGATCGATTTCTCTCTCTCTGCCTCTGTAACTCTGCCTTTCAAATAAATAAATATATATTTTTAAAAATTCAAAAGGTAGATGAATTGGAGATGGCAAGCACAGACACATTTAGGAGAAGTTTCACTGTAAAGGTGTGAAGCGATGTGGGACAATACCTGAAGAGAGCAACTGAGTTAAAAAAGTATTCTTTATTATTTTTTATTATAATGGGAGAAGTATCAGCTTACATAAACAAGTGTGCCAGAGAGAGTGATCTGAGAAAGAAGGGGAAAATACATAATGCAGGAGCAAAAAAGGACAAGGCTGGATGGAATCGGTTCACACCTTGGCCTCAGGTAAGAGTTCAAACTAAGAGGAGGGAATGAAAGGCAGGGAGGGATCACAGGCAGAGGCCAAGAACTCGGGATGTGATTTTTCGGTTGCTGTTTGTTTTTTTTTTTTCCTCAATGAAAGGGGAAAGCTGAGAGTAGGAATGGGGGAAGAGATGTTCCAAGTTTGAGGAGAGAAGACATGAAATAGCTCACTTAACAAAAGCATAATGACTGGTCTTGCAGTTAGAAAACTTAAATTTAACTCGTCTAATTAACCTCTCCGTTTCCTTGTGGGTTAATGAGGATACCTACTGCCCAGGATTTTATTTTATTTATTTATTTTTTTTGGTAGGAAGGTTAAATAAAAAGAGTCACTGGTAAAGGAAAGCGTTTTACGAAGTTATTTGTACTTGAACAATAATTTTAACATTTGAAACCACTTATCAAGACGTCCTATTACAAGCCATTGTGATGTGTTTTACGGACATTAAGTTATTCCTTCCAATAACTTGGTGAGACAAAGCATTCTCATCCCATTAGACGTCAGAGAAACGGGAATCCTGCCTGGAGTTCCCAAACGAGTAAACGGCTGAGCTACTGCAGGCCCGGGCTCACATTCCAAGGCTCAGATGCGGGAACCTCTTTTCCAAGGCAGCTTCTCCAAATGAGCTAAGGTGTGTTCACGCCGTGACTGCTGCAACAGGTGATAAAGGCCTTCTTGGTACTATCCAGGTTTTTTTCTTAAAATACTTTTTTTCCCCTTAATATCCTTGCGAACGTTCTGGATTCGCGTTGCGTACTCACCAGGGCAGAAGTGGTGTCCGTATTTGATTTATCCAGTTTGCCCAGGCGCTGAACCGGCGAGGACCGCTCCGACAGGCGCCGCTGGCCTGAGTTTCAGGGGCAGGGTCTTTGACAAACAGATTAAAGCCACTGAACATGTCTTATGCCAGTCACCAACTCCACGGGGCCACCGAGAGGGGGACACGAAGGTGCGAACACACCCCGCGGAGCGGGCGTGAGGGAGCCGGCTGTGGCGGGCGGGAGAAGGGGGGGGGAAAAAAAGTTGGGCAAGTTTGGGGGGGGGGGGGAGAAGAGGCCCTGCCGGGGCGGGGCCCGGGGGGCGGGGCGGCCCCCCGCGGGCGCGTACGCGGCGCCGCGCCGGGCGTTTCAAAAAGCCCCTGAGGCGCGTCCCGGCGCCAGCCTCTCGCGCGCAACTTCTCGGGTCGCCGCCGCCTCTCAGCAGCCTCCGGGCGCCGGCCGACGCCAGCCGGTGTGCAGGTTCCGGGCCCAGGCCGCTGTCCGCCGTCCGCTGTCCGCCGTCCGCTGTCCGCTGTCTCCCCGGGGCGCGCGCGCGGGCGTCACCATGGTTCACTTCTTGCACCCGGGCCGCTCGCCCCGGAACATCGTCCTTCCCGACGCCCAGAAGGATGCCCTGGGCTGCAGCGTGGTGCAGGTGAGCCGCGCGGACGGGCGCGGGGGCGCAGGCTGGGGCGCGACGCCAGCCTGCGGCGAGCGCGGCAAGCTGTCGGGGGTGCGGCCCCGGCCCTTGCCGGGAAGTTCGGCCGGCGGCGCGGGAGTGAAGCCGCTGCGGGGCAGAGCCGCCGCGGGGGACTGCGCAGGGGAGAGCGGACAGGGCGCTGGGGGCGCGTCTCCCCCGAGGCCCGGCGCGCCCCGCGCAGCACCCCGACTCTCACCTCAGCGCTAAGCCGGGTGGTGGGAGCTTAGACGTGGGCGCTGCTCCTTGTGCCCGACCCGGTCCTTGGTGGAGCCGTCGTCCTGAGCTGAAGTTCCCCAGACCCTGGCGGTTTTCCCAGGGGAAAACCTGCGGACGGCGACGCTCCCGGGAGGACTGGGTGTGACTCTTTGACCGGGGGTCTGGAGGGGGGACTGGAATCCCGAAGGCGGAGATTCCTTCGATTTCGAGTGTTCCCCTCCCCCGAATGTCTATAAACCAAGCCCTGAGAAATGCGGACCCAAACTAGGTGTGCTTAGCGCCTGCTGTGCGTCAACGACCGCATTTCTGGAGTGGTCTCCGCGGTGGGAAAGCTGGGAACCAGTTCTGAACTTGACCTCAGCTGCTCCGACCCCGACTCCCCTTTCAGCCTGGCCCCAGGGACCACCCTCTAAGAACTCAAAATCCAGGGGCGAAGGCTTAGCTCCGAGATTAATTAGGACCGAGGAAATACCGGGGTGAGGTTGTGCGGTGTATACTAACGTCCGGTCGGACGGCTTTTGTGCCTCCAGAGATACAGCCTGTCCCCTTTTGGACTCATCTGCAAAAGCTGCGGTATAGTCTGTAAAGTGTTGGTTAATGCAAAAGTGGGGGTTTTGGGTGTGTATTGGACTCGAGTACTGCTGGGAATCGAGATACAGGATGTCTTTACGAAATGATCGTTTATCAACCCGTTTTCTCTGTCTGGTTCCATAGAATAGGTAACACTTTTTCCTTTATACGATATTATTAATTATTTTAATCATATAAATAATGCATGAGTACTATTTCCCCTAGGAGATGTATAAATACATTTATCTGCATTCATTTATGTTGTCTTAAATTTTCACTCAATAATGTTTCCTAACGCCTCATAATTTTAAGTGTGAAAGTTCCTTATGTATTTTGTTAAATTTATCCCTGTTTTTGATACTGTCAAATTGTAAGACTTCATATAAATATGAAATAAATAAAAACCTATTTTTGCACATTGTTCTTGTATCTTATAGTTTTGCTAATTCCACTAATTTTCCCTAGCTTTTTGTAGATTTCTTGTGATATTACTCAATAAACATCATCTGCAACTAAAAACAGTTTTACTAGTTCTTTCTCAGCTTATGCTTTTTAATAATACCTTTTTAATAATTACAAAATTGCATTTTCAAGAACCTTTTCTAGAGTATTATGGAAAAATGGTATGGTCAATTTTCCAGTGTTGTAGATATATGAATTGCTTGTAGTTTTGAAAGATGCTATTTGTCAACTTAATAAATAAGTTTCCTTCTATCCTCATTTGTCAGAGTTTTTTAAGATTATGAATGTGTGTTGAATTTTGTTAAATGCTTTTTTTTTGGGAATTTGAAATAAGTATATAGTGCCTTTATTCTGTTAATGTTAATTTTTTGTTAGGTTCATTGTGAATTTAACTTAATAAAGGAATAAACTGGACTTGGTCATGATGTGTCATTGTTTATATCACAGGATTTTATTTGCTAACATTTTGTTGAATATTTTTGTGTTTATCAGGGATATTGTTCTAGAAATATTCTACCTAGCCTTAAAAAATGAATTGGGAAGTCTTCCTCTTTTATTTTATGACTGTAGAACTTGTATTATATCTTCCCTATTTAATGGAATTCACTAGTGAAGCCATCTGAGACTTTTTTCTTTGGAAAGTTTCCTCTTTTTTTATTTATTTGAAAGACAGAGTTACAGAGAGGTAGAGCCAGAGAGAGAGGTCTTCCATCTCCTGGTTCACTCCCTAGATGACTCCAACAGCCAGAGCTGAGCTGATCCAAAGCCAGTAATCAGGAGCTTCTTCCAGGTCTCTTATGTGGGTGCAGGGACCCAAGGACTTGGGCCATCTTCCACTGCTTTCCTAGGCCATAGCTGAGAGCTGGATTGTAAGTGGAGCAGCCGGGACTTGAACTGGCATCCATATGGGATACTGGTGCTGCAGGCGGCAGCTTTATCCCCCGTTCCACAGTGCCAACCCCTGGAAAGTTTGATCTGTTTTTCTGGGAGAAAAATTTAGGTATTATGGGCTATTCATATCTTACGTTTTTAAAGAGGTCAAGAAGCCATAAAATTTATATTTGTATATGCACTTGATAAGCAGATAGTTGGCTTCTGTAACATAAATTATCAAATTTATTGTTGTAAAATTAAAATTGCTCATAGGATTCTTTTATCATCCTTTCAATGCATTTCCCTTTTGGTCATATAATTATCTATGGATTTAGAAACAGTAATGTATCTTTTCAGACATTCAGCTTTTGGTTGTGGTTGTATATCCACGATGCATGTTTACTTTCAATGATTTCTGTTTGTATTTTCAGAATTTCCTTTATTTTTCCTTTGCTTAATTTTATTTTTATTCTTTTATGGTTGAAAGTTGGGGCATTAATTTTATGCCATTCTTTATTTTTTCATCACCAGCATCCCTTTAATGAGGGGAGGGGAGGGTGAATATGTCATTATTCTCTAATGTAAACATTTAGACTTACACATTTCCTCTAGCATTATTTTGGTTAGCTATGGTTTGATATGTTATTCAGAATAATTTGTAATTTCTATTGTGTTTCTTTGAACCATGGCCTAATTTGGGAGTGGATAGTCTATATATAATATATTTTCAGAAATCATACTCTGGTTATAATCCATTTATATTTTTTGAGTTGTGACTCAGATATGGTCCATCCTGATGAATGTTCATGCATTTTGGAATATACATACTCTGATTGTCAGGTCAAGTTTTATTAATACTACCTTTATTATCCATTTTCCATCTATTTGATTTCTTTGTTTCTGTTTTCTGATATTTTAGGATTGTTTATTGTAGCATTCTCTGCTTGTTTTTATAAATTCCTGAGAAGTGTTAATTTCCTATTCTAATAGTAGATTGCTTTTTATCCTTCCAATTTTTGTTTCATGAATTTTTCAGATTGAGTAGGTGCATATACACTTAGGAATCTTAATTTTTCTTTTGAGAATGTTAATTCTTGAGGAATTAACCCTTTTATCATTTTGCAGTGTCTGTTTATCTCTAGCAAATACTGCTCTGAAGTCCCTTTTTTTTTTAAATTTTATTTATTTGTTTGAGAGGGAGAGTTATAGACAGTGAGAGGGAGAGACAGAGAGAAAGGTCTTCTTTCCACTGGTTCACTCCCCAAATGGCCACAATGGCTGGAGCTACCCCGATCCAAAGCCAGGAGCCAGGAGCTTCTTCCTGGTCTCCCACGTGGGTGGTTCTAGTCCCGGTTGGGGCGCCGGATTCTTTCCCGCTTGCTCCTCTTCCATTCCAGCTCTCTGCTGTGGCCCGGGAGTGCAGTGGAGGATGGCCCAAGTGCTTGGGCCCTGCACCCCATGGGAGACCAGGATAAGCACTTGGCTCCTGCCATCAGATCAGCGCGGTGTGCTGGCCGCAGTGCACCGGCCGCGACAGCCATTGGAGGGTGAACCATCGGCAAAGGAAGACCTTTCTCTCTCTCTGTCTCTCTCACTGACCACTCTGCCTGTCAAAAAAAAAAAAAAAAAAGAAAGAAAGAAAGAAAGAAAGAAAGAAAAAGGACAGGGCGATTTGAAGCTGACACACAGAGGAAGGCCATATGAAGGCAGAGGGCCAGCACCGTGGTTTACTGCTAGGCTAATCCTCTGCCTTGCCGCGCCGGCACCTGGCTCCTGGCTTCGTATCAGCGCCATACGCTGGCCGCGGCGCCAACACACCAGCGGCGGCGGCGGCGGCTGCCATTGGAGGGTGAACCAACGGCAAAAGGAAGACCTTTCTCTCTCTCTCTCACTATCTACTCTGCCTGTCAAAAAAAAAAAAAAAAAAAGCGGCAAACCACCAGCTGCCGGAAGCTGGAAGAAATAAGTAGGCCGGCCCCGCGGCTCACTAGGCTAATCCTCCGCCTAGCGGCGCCGGCAGACTGGGTTCTAGTCCCGGTCGGGGCGCCGGATTCTGTCCCGGTTGCCCCTCTTCCAGGCCAGCTCTCTGCTATGGCCCGGGAGTGCAGTGGAGGATGGCCCAAGTGCTTGGGCCCTGCACCCCACGGGAGACCAGGAGAAGCACCTGGCTCCTGGCTCCTGCCATTGGATCAGCGCGGTGCGCTGGCCGCAGCGCGCCTTCCGCGGCGGCCATTGGAGGGTGAACCAACGGCAAAGGAAGACCTTTCTCTCTCTCTCTCTCTCTCTTTCTCACTGTCCACTCTGCCTGTCAAAAAAATAAAAAATAAAAAAAATAATAAGAAATAAGTAAGGATTCTCCCTTGAGCTGTCATAAGCCAGTATCCCAGCTCATCCCTTGGTATTGTAAGGCTGTGCTCCTGAATGTTAGGAAATAGATTTCTGTTTTTAAGTCACCGATTTTCCTGTAATTTGTTAAGGAAGCACTTGGAAACAGACGTGTTCTAAATCTGCTCCTTTTCTCTTCTGTCTTTGAGATTTCATGTTCTGAGAACCAAATTGACAATCAGTGAGCAATACATAAATATCACACTGATACTAGAAGAAAACATGGGAGATAGTTTAAGGCATTGTTACAGACTGTGGATAAGACCCTAAAAATACAGGCAACAATAGCCAAAACATGCAGGTATTGTGGCATCATGGGTGAAGCTGCTATCTTGGACTCCTACATCCTATATTACAGTACCTGCTAATGCTCCTGGGAGCAAGGGGTGATGGAGTACTTGCGTCCCTAACACACCCGTGAAAGACCTGGCCTGGCCTATCCTCAGCCTTTGTGGCTATTTGAGGAAGGAAGCAGTGGATGGAATATTTCTCCCTCTCTGTTTTCCAGTTAATTCAGTCAATTTGAATGATATGGATATTATAAAAATATGCATAGATCTCAAAATTCATTTGACAGATAGAGAGACAGAAAGGTCTTCCTTCTGTTGGTTCAGCCCCCAAATGGCCGCTATGGCCGGTGCTGTGCCGATCCGAAGCCAGGAGCTTCTTCCTGGTCTCCCATGTGGATGCAGGGGCCCAAGCACTTGGGCCATCCTCCACTGCCCTCCTGGGCTACAGCAGAGAGCTGGACTGGAAGAAGAGCAACCGGGACTAGAACCCGGCGCCCATATGGGATGCTGCAGGTGGAGTTTTAAGCAAGTGAGGCATGGCGCCGGCCCCTCAAAATTTTTTTGAACCAAGCAAACTTATCTGTTCATTCCACTGTACCTCAAACTTTTTGAAGTATTTTGTACATCCAAAGGAAATGAAATCTGGGTGCTGTGTAGTGGGTAAAGCCACCACCTGCAATGCCGATATCCCATATATGCACTGATTTGTATCCTGGCTGCTTCACTTCCAATCTAGCTCCCTGCTAATGATCTGGGTAAAGCAGCGCAAAATGGTCCAACGTTAGCTCCTGCCAGTCACATGGGAGACTGGGTAAAGCTCTTGGCTCCTGGCTTCAGCCTGGCCCAGCGCTGGCCATTGTGGGTATCTAGGGAATGAACTAGTGAATAGACGATCTCTCTCTCTCTCTCTCTCTCTCCCTCCCTCTCTCCCTTTCTCCCTGTAACTCTTTCAAAATAAATAAATCTTCTGTGTATTATTTTCATGCTTATTGCAGCACTGTTACAGTAGTTGAGGTGGAATCAACTGAGGTTTCCATTGATAATTAGTAAATAATGAAAATTTACTATATATAGCCAATGGAACATTTTTCAGCCATGAAAAACTATTAAAATCTTGTCATTTGTAGCAACCTAGGTACAACTGGGGATGTCATGTTGGATAATAAGCCAGGCATTGAAACAAAAATAGCACCTATTCTTATGCAGTTTTATTTCATGCAGATAGAGTAGAGTAGTGGCCAACAGAATAGTAAGGGGAAGGAGGAGGCTTCATAGGGGATCTGAAAATATAATTAGATTACTTAAGAGAAATAAATTCTGATCTGAACAGGAAGGTGACTAGTTTACAATGGTTTATTATGTATTTTATAAAGAGCTAGGAAAGAAGTCTAAAGCTTTCTAACACAAAGAAATGATAGCTATTTAAGCCAGGGAAATGCTAGTTACCCTGATATGATCATTGTATTTTTAGTAGCTGGCACAAAATATACAATAAATCAAGTGTTGAGAATGTTATTTTTTAACAGTATAATGGAAAATAGAATCTTCTGTTAACAACTGAAGGTGATTTCATTACCTATCAATTATTAGAGGTGTAGGACATGTATGGCATGACCACCTTGATGGTGAAGTTTTGTGGATGGATTCTAACAAAGTGTGTTTGGGATTTGTTTGCTAGGAGGAGGCGTCTCCCTACTCTTTGGTGACCATCTGCCTGAAATTCCTGATTGCCAACTTGGAGAAGTTGTGTTCTGAAAGACCTGATGGAACACTGTGCCTTCCGGAGCCTTGGAGTTTTCCTCAGGAAATAGCTGATCAGTTCCTTGGGTTGATGACTTGGCATGGTAATAAGTTTTCTGAATAATCTGCTCTTGAAGTTCCTTCCTTTCTTCCATCCTTCTGTCTTAAAATTCTTTCTTTGTTTACTTACTTATTTTTGAGATGTAGGTAGAGAGATAGCTCTTAATTCACTGATTCACTTCCCAAACCAGGGCTGAACCAGGGCAAAGCTGGAAATGGGTGATAGGGAGCTAGCTACTTGAGCCTTCAACATTGGAACTAGGAACTGGAGCTGGGTATCAAACTTGGGTGGGTACATTGATGTGGAATGCAGGCATCTTAACTACTAGGCTAACCACCCAACCCTATAATTTTATTTTATTTATTTATTTTTTTTGACAGAGTGGACAGTGAGAGAGAGAGACCGAGAGAAAGGTCTTCCTTTTGCCATTGATTCACCCTGCAATAGCTGCTGCGGCTGGCGCATTGCGCTGATCCGAAGGCAGGAGCCAGGTGCTTCTCCTGGGCGGCCATTGGAGGGTGAACCAACGGCAAAGGAACACCTTTCTCTCTGTCTCTCTCTCTCTCTCTCTCACTGTCCACTCTGCCTGTCAAAAAAAATATATATATATAAATATATATATATATTTATTTTGAAAGTCAGAGTTATAGAGGGAGAGGGAGAAGGAGATTTTCCAGCTCTGGCTCACTCCTCAGATGGCCACAACAGCTGGGGCTGGGCCAGACTGAAGCTAGGAGCCAGGAGCTTCATCTGGATCTCCCATGTGAGTGGCAGGGGCCCAGACACTTGGGCTGTCTTCCACTGCTTTTCCCAAGCTGTTAGCAGGGAGCTGGATCAGAAGTGAAGCAACCAGGACCCAAACTGGCACCCATATAGGGTTCTATTGTCACAATATTGGCTTCTTAAACCCTGCTTTAATGTGTTCACTTAATTCAGGGGTAGGAACGTCTAGCCACAGGCTGTTAAGACAGCCACAGGTAGGGCTTGAAATTCAGTAACTGTATAGCAGGCTAATATTTAAGTAGGTCATTTTGTACGGCCCATATCCAAATAGCCCTTCGCATAAAAATGGTCCCCCACCCCTGACTTAATTTAACATGTTAAATTGTATAGCCAGAATTGTATTAGATGACTGATAAACATGAGATTCAGGGCAAATTTCTTACAAATAATGATATGTTTGTAAAAGTGTTATATTGAGTCTCTATCTATAAATTACCCATCAAATAAATTTTCAGAGGAATTAAGTTGATGAAGATGAATTCTATTCTGTTCTGTGGCTTTAATTTATGCAACATTGTTCTTCAGGATAAAGATAATCTGGAAGAAAGGCAGATTCTTTTTTTATATACCTTATTATCTCACAGTAAGGTTTTTTTCTTTTAAATTTTAAATATATAAAACTAGAGAAACTAAACCTCTATATATCTAGCTTCAATAATGAACAGGTCATAGCCAATCTTGTTTTTATCCAACCTCCACATGCTCCCTGCCCTACTTCTATTTTGAAGTAAGTCCCAGATATTATTTTAATTGTAAATATAGTTGGGGACTTTTTCTAAAAGTTTTTTTTGTTTTACTTTAAAATTTATTTAAGAAGCAGAAAGAGCCAAAGATCTCCCATCCATTGGTTTATTCCCCAAATGCCAGTACCAACCCAAGCTTGACCAGGCTGAAGCCAAGAGCTAGGAACTCCATTGGGTTACCAAGGAAGGTGGCAGGAAACCAGGCACTCAAGCCATCAATTGCTGCTTCCCAGGGGGCATGTTAGCAAGAAGTTTGAATTAGAGGTGGAACCAGGATTCAAAGCCAGGCACTCTGATAAAGGATGCAGGCATCCCAAGCAACATCTTAACTCTACACAAAACACCTGCCCTGACTTTGGGACTTTTTAAACAAAAATTTTATAAACATAGTTTTGACTTTGCAGTTAAAAATTTTAGCATAAATTTCTTTTTTTAAAAAAGATTATGTGTTTATTTACTTGAAAGTTAAAGGCAGAGAGTTACCATTTGGGGCAGGTATTTGACCTAGTAGTTGAGATGCCACATCCCATATTGGAGCACCCAGACTCTTTCCTAGATTCCAGCATTTGCTAATGCACCCACTGAGAGGCAGGAGGGATCTCTTCTACCCATGTGGAAGACCTGGAGTGAGTTCCCTGCTCTTGGGTTCCCTCTGGCCCAGTCTTGGCTATTGAGGGCATTTTGGAGTGAGCCAGTGGATGGGAGACCTCTTTTTCTCTCTGCCTGTCAAATAAATAAAAATAGTCAAGGTTCAGGCATTGTGACACTTCTTGGGACACCTGGGTCCTGTATCCAAGTGCCAAATCAAGTTTTAGTTATTCTACACTTTTGATCCAGTTTTCTGCAGATGTGCCTGAGGCAGTGGATGATGGCCCAAGTACTCCTGCTGCCTATGTGGGAGACCCAGATGGATTTTCTGGCTTCGGCATGGCCTGCCCCTGGCTGATGCAGGCATCTGGGGAGTGAACCAATGAATGAGAATGAAAGATTTCCTTCTCTGTCACTCTGCCTTGGGGATAAAAGAGTCTTTTTAAAAAAGTGGTCAGTGGTGTATCCTGTACTATCTACTTGTTTTATTTAGTTCAAAGTGACTGTAGATAAAACCGGATTTGATTCCTGATTCTGCCATATATGTTTACCTTGGGCAAGTTACTTAACCTCAAGCTTTAGTTTCCTCACCTATATAATAATAAAATAATAATTCTTTTGTAATGTTGGTACAAAGAGTAATGAGATAAAAGATTTAGAATAGTGCCTGGCACAGAGTAAGCAATAAATGTAGTCATTCTTACTATTATTAGCATCTGTCATAGTTGATTGCCACATTGCACCCTGGAAAGACATGAAATTGAGATATCATTCCAAGCTGGTTCTGGTTCTCTTATAGGCAAGCTGAATGATAGAACAGCAAGCATTTTCCGAGGCAGCCAGATGAAACTGAAGCTGGTCAATATCCAGAAAGCCAAAATCTCCGCAGCTGCTTTCATAAAAGCCTTCTGCCATCATAAGCTCACTGAAGTGGATGCTACTGAAGTAGAATGTGACCTCCCAATCCCCGATATTTTAAGTGGACTTTGCAGCAATAGCTGGATCCAGCAAAACCTACAGAATCTCTTCTTGGGCTCAGCAAGTATGCCTCAAGATTCAAGACTGTTCTTTGGTCAGCTCACTGGTCTTCGCGTTTTAAGTGTTGTCAGTGTCGATTTTCATAATGGAGACCTGGCTAATGTTTGTCAGTTACCGAAACTGGAAAGCTTGGATATCTCCAATACTCTGGTCACTGACATTTCTGCACTCCTTACCTGTAAGGATCATCTGAAATTTCTCAGCATGCATTATCTGAAATGCCTGACCATGACCGGACCACAAGTTATTTCAGTCATTAGTAAACTCAATTGTCTGCTTCACCTTGATATTTCTGATCATAGACAACTCAAGTCTGATCTAGCTTTTCATTTGCTACAGCAGAACGATATCCTGCCTAATGTTGTATCCTTGGATATATCTGGGGGCAGTCAAATCACTGATGGAGCTGTAGAACTGTTTGTACGACAGCGGCCTGCTTTGCGTTTCTTGGGACTGTTGGCTACGGATGCTGGTTATTCTGACTTCTTTACCACAAAGCAAGGCTTGAGGGTTTGTTCTCAACTAAAATAAGTTTTGTTTCATTTGTCAGAACATTATTAAGCTCTTGCTGTGCATCAGAATCTGTTAGGTGTTAGGGTTATAAAAACATAAGAAATCCTTAAGGAGCTTAAATAATTGTGCTTCTACTAAATTGTAGGTTTTGGTAACATAACTTTAAGATACAGTTGCATTTTCCATGTCTTTTAGTAAAGCTTGATAATGATAATTACAGCCATTTATTTATTTTATTTGAAAGACAGAGCTGCAGAGAGAGAGAGAGAATCTCCATCTTCTAGTTCACTCTCCCAGTGGCCACAACAGCCAGAGCTGTGCTGATCCGAAGCCAGGAGCCAGGTGCTTTTTCTGGGTCTCCCATGCGAGTGCAGGGGCCCAAGGACTTCTACTGCTTTCCCAGGCCATAGCAGAGAGCTGGATCAGAAGTGGAGCAGCCGGGTCTTGAACTGGCACCCATATGGGATACCAGCACTGCAGGCAGTGTCTTAACCCGCTATGCCACAGTGCCGACCCCAGAGACTGTTTACTTCTTTAATTCACCAGGTTGAGGCAGTAGTTTGGTGTGGTGGGATACCTGTATCACATTGAAGGACCTAGGTTTGGGTCCTGGTTCAAATTCTACCTTCCTGCTAATGCGTACCCTAGGAGGCAGCAGGTGATGGCTCAAGTTCTTGGGTCCCTGCTACACATGTGTGAGACCAAGATTGTGTGCCAGCTTTTGGCTTTGGCCTAGCCCAGTCCAGCTGGTGTGGGTATTTGGGAAGTGAACCAATGGATGGAAGGGGTCTGTCTCACTTCGGTTTCTCTCCCTTTCAAAGAATATATATATATATATATATGGCAGAATTCTCTCATTTTGCAGATGGATAAGTGGAAGCTCAGGGAGGTTAGCTCCTTACCAACAATCATGGAACCAACTATTGATAGAGCCGAAACCTGTACCCAGGTCTTTGATTATGAAAGTTGTGATCATAACCTCAAGAGCTGAATGTAATTGAGGCAGGTCAAAGTTATGACAAAAAGCAACTTTTTAAGATTTATAGATTTTCATGGTGTTACCTTTTTGTGTTTTATTTATTTGAAAGGCAGATTGGCCAGCACCGCGGCTCAATAGGCTAATCCTCTGCCTGCAGCGCCAGCACCCTGGGTTCTAGTCTCGGTCAGGGCGCCGGATTCTGTCCCGGTTGCTGCTCTTCCAGTCCAGCTCTCTGCTGTGGCTCATATTAAGATGAATAAGTTTAAATGTTGGTATAGGGGCCGACACTGTAGCATAGTGGGTAGAGCCGCTACCTGCAGTGCTGGCATCCCATATGGGCGTTGGTTCTAGTCCTGGCTGTTCCACTTCTGATCCAGCTCTCTGCTATAGCCTGCAAAAGCAGTAGAAGATGGCCCAAGTCCTTGACCCCTGCACCTGCATGGGAGACCTGGAAGAAGCTCCTGGCTTCTGTGGTGGCTAGTTGGGGAATGAACCAGTGGATGGAAGAGCTCTCTCTCTCTAACTCTGCCTTTCAAATAAATCTTAAAAAAAGAAAAATGTTCGTATAAACCTTAAAAGACAACAAATACATGTTGTATCTTATACCCAAAATATGAATGGACATCATAAAACTAATGCTTTTTAAATGGATGGAAAGGGTACCACTGAGAATAAAAACCAGGCAGCAGTTTATTTGCTGGGAAATCCTTGTTGATCCACTGATGTTATGGTGGCATCTGTTACTGGACCATGTTGCTGGATAATCCAGGAGAGAGGCTGATGCTGAAGCTGTCTGGTCTTCTGCTTGGTCCTGCTGTGGCTCAACCTTTTTTTCCAGCTGGTTGATAGCAAACACTGATTCACTCCCCAAATAGCCGCAACAGCTTGGGCCTGTGCCAGGCTTAAACTGGGAGCCAAGAACTCTCTGGTCTCAAATGAGTTACCTTTTCAGGTACATTAACAGGAAGCTAGATCAGAAGTGGAGTAACACTGGCATTCCGATATGGGATACAGGTGTCCTAAGTGGCCACTTAACTCATTGTACCTGTGATGTCCACCCCACCAACCTTTTTTATTATTATTATTTTTAATTTATTTATTTGAAAGGCAGTTACAGAGAAAAGAGAGAGAGCTTCCATCTGCTGGTTCATTCTCCAAACAGCCACAATGACCAGGGTTAGGCCAGGTAGAAGACAGAGCCAGGAGTTTCTTCCAGGTTTTTTATGTGGGTGCAGGGACCGAAGCACTTGGACCGTCTTCAGCTGCTTTCTTTGATATGTTAGCTGGATTGGAAATGGAGCAGCAGGGATTCGAACTAGTGCCTATATGGGATGCCAGCATTGCAGACGGCTGCTTAACCCACTATATCACGATGCCAGACACATACCCCCCCGCCCCGTTTTATTATTTTTTATTTAGAAGAGCTTCTGCCTACTGATACACTGCCCAGATGTCCACAGTGCCTTTACAATAGGCTAGGCTAAAACTGGGAACTGGGAACTTTGTCCAGGGTCCTATCTGAGTGGCCAAAACTCAATTATTGAGCCATCCACTGTTTCTCAGGGAGGCATTATCAGGAGCTAGAGCAGGTATCAAACCCAGGAACTCTGATGTGATTCTTGAGTGTCATAACCCAACACTCGCCCCAAGGTTTTGGAGCTTATCCATTGTTTAGGGTTCTTTCCATTTTTATTTTTTATTTATTTAAGAGACTTAAAGAGAGCTCTTATCTGCTGTTTCATTTTCCAAAAGCCTTTGATGGCTAGTGCTGGGCTTGGCTAGGCTGGGTCAGAATCAAGAGACAGTAATGTAACCTAGGTCTCCCACATAAGTGGCAGAAGCACTTTTACTTGAACCTTCATTGCAGCCTCAAAGGGTCTGTATGAGCAGGAACTTGGAGACAGGAACCAGAACTGGGATTCAAACCCAGCTAACCTAATGTGGGAAACAGCCATTATTATTATTATTTTTTTTGAAGATTGATTGATATGAGAGGCAGAGTTAAAGACAGAGGTCTTCCATCCACTCTCCAAATGGCCGCAACAGTTGGAGGTGGGCCAGGGGGCCAACTGCTTTCCCAGGCCATTAGCAGAGAGCTAGATAAGAAGAGGAGTAGCTGGGAAAGGAACTGGCACCCACATGGGATGCCGGTGCCAAAGGCAGAGGCTTTAACCTGCTATGCCACTGTGCCAGCCCTGAAACATGCATCTTAAACAAGCTAAATACCACCAATTCCCCATTGTCTAGAGTCCTAATGATGTGTAAGTTCTTGAGTGATTTCAGTAGGTGTAATACTTGACAATTTTAAATATTTTTTCACATGTAATTTAGTAATTCTAAACATTTTACAGCATTTGTTTTTTGTACCTCTTTCTGTATATACATGTTGTGTTTTTCCTGAGTCATTGGAGAGTTGGTTGCCCTTTGTCCCTTGATATTTGAGTTTGTATTTCCTATGAACCGGAATATTCTCCCTAAAGTCATGGTACTCTGAGCACATTTTTTTGAAATTTACCACTGGTGCCATATTTTTATTATACTTACATTTTTATATATATTATATATACATATATTTGTGTGTGTGTGTGTGTGCCAGTGTTAATTATCCCAATTAACTTTCTTAAAGAAAATATCTTTTTTTAGGCCAGGATCATTTCATGTATTCATTCTTTGTCTATCCTTTATGACATTGATATTTTTAGAGAATACAGATCACTTTGTTTTGTTGGCTTTCTGGGAGAACAATTCTTGGTCTTATCCAACTTTCCAATGTACATTTAGCATCCATTGATGAGTCATACCTGAACCAGTGTTTCATGTGCTGGCTGTAAAGGGATTTTTACAACTTCAGCACTGATCTGCCTTTATCAGAGAAGAACCCCACCTTCGTCTGTTTAACTTGTATTCAATATGGATTTGTTGGTTCCTATTATTTTTGGCAGTTTACAATTCATTACTGTCCTTAATTTTTTTTAAGATTTATTTATCTTTTTGAAAGGCACAGTTAGAGAGGGAAAGACAGAGAGATCTGTCTGCTGGTTCATTCCCCAGATGGCCACAATGGCTAGACCTGGGCCAGACTAAAGCCAGGAGCCAGAAGTTTCTTCCAGGTCTTCTAGGTGGGTGCAGGGGCCCAAGCACTTCGGCCATCTACTGCTTTCCTAGGTGAATTAGCAAGAAGCTGGATCAGAAGTGGAGCGACTGGGATTTGAATCAGCATCCACGTGGGATACTGGCATTACAGTCAGTGGCTTTACTTGCTACTCCACAGTGCTGGCCCTGTCCTTAATTATAATTATTTTCTTTTTTTTTAAATTTTTTTTATTTTTTGACAGGCAGAGTGGACAGTGAGAGAGAGAGACAGAGAGAAGGTCTTCCTTTGCCGTTGGTTCACCCTCCAATGGCCGCCGAGGCCAGCGTGCTGCGGCTGGTGCACTGTGCTGATCGATGGCAGGAGCCAGGTGCTTCACCTGGTGTCCCATGGGGTGCAGGGCCCAAGCACTTGGGCCATCCTCCACTGCACTCCCTGGCCGTAGCAGAGAGCTGGCCTGGAAGAGGGGCAACCGGGACAGAATCCGGCGCCCCGACCGGGACTAGAACCCGGTGTGCCGGCGCTGCAGGCAGAGGATTAGCCTAGTGAGCCGCGGCGCCAGCCATAATTATTTTCATTGTCAGATTGTCATGGATTGGCCGATGTGAGCTTCTTCAAACTGCCTCCTTTGTCATTTTCCCAACTCACTATTCTTTTTTAGCACTTTGTTACATTCTGGCACAGTAAGGTATTCTAGATTTTTCTGTATCTCCTCGACATCTGCACTGGAATTGGGCATTTCTCTAAAGGGCCCTCATTCCTTTTTGTGGGAATCTAAGACTTGAGAACCAGGTACTCTCATTCCTGTTGGGATATCTTTGTTTCTAAAGCACTTCCTGCAGATGGAGCTAGTAAATTGTTACATAGGAAACAAACTTAATGTGCTGTATTCGAATGTTTATCCTCACACCATTTTTCTTTCTTTACCAGTGTGTGAATATATCTCTATAGTGAGAACACTGGCTATCAACATCAGCACATTTTGCTCAGCCCTACAATTATACAAAGTAGTTTCAGAATTAGTGTGTCCATACTGCATAAACAAAAACCTACTGAAAAGTATGGAACTTGTTTGCATTGTTTTTCTTCTTCCAGACCAAAGATATAGTTAAAATAGTAACCAGACGTATTTATATTCTTGGCTCCTATATTTGTTTCCATGAAAGGCAGCATGGTATATATACTGTTAGACTTTGGCCTTTTCTCTTTATAAATATTTTATTTTTATTTATTAGAGGGGCAGAGAGAGAGAGGTCTTCCACCCTCTGGTTCACTCACTCCCCAAATGGCCGCAACTGCTGGAGCTGGGCCAGTCCGAAGCCAGGAGCCTGCAGCTTTTTCTAGGTCTTCCACATGGGTGCAGGGGCCCAAGGATTTGGACCATCTTGTACTGCTTTCCCAGGCCATAGCAGAATACTGGATTGGAAATGGAGCAGCTGGATCTTGAACCAACATCCATGTGGGATGCTGGCACTGCAGGCAGTGGCTTTATCTGCTATACCACAGCGCTGGCCCCACTTTGGCTTTTTTACTTAATATATCCTATAAATTACTCCGTCAGCTCATGCTTCCATCTTTGTTATGGCTTAAAGTACTTCACTGTGTATATGTATCATAATATATCTAGTGTCCTTTGTTACAGATCTTTTGCTGTAGTTTCAATCAAAAGCCTGTACTCAAAGATGAATAGTAGGAGGTCAGAGGTTGTGGGCAACACCTGCATTCCATCTGAACACCAGTTTTCAGGCCCAGCTGTTCCACGTCTGAGTCAGTTCTGCTTATGTGCCTGGGAAAGCAGCAGAGGATGGCTCAAGTACTTAGGGTCCCTTCCACCCACATGGGAGACCAGATTGCATCCTAAACTCCTGGCTTCAGCCTGGCCCAGTTCTGCCTGTTGCGTGCATTTGGAGAGTTAACCAGTGGATAAATTTTTCTGTCTCTATCCCCATCTGTTCCCCTTCTCTGCCTTTCAAATAAATAAAAAGTAGTCTTTGTTTTTTAAGATTAACAGTGAAGGACTGTTGGCTGTGGTGTAGCAGGTAAAGCCACCACCTACAGTGCTGGCATCCCATATGGGCACTAGTCCGAGTCCTGGCTGCTCCACTTCCAATCCAGCTCTCTGCTAGGGCCTGGGAAAGCAGTAGAAGATGGCCCAAATGCACCTGCACCTGCACCTGCGTGGGAGACCTGGAAGAAGCTCCTCACTCCTGGATTCGGATTGGTGTAGCTCCGGCCATTGCAGCCATCAGGGAAGTGAACCAGCTGTTGGAAGCCCCTTTCTCTCTCTCTCTCTCTGCCTCTGCCTCTGCCTCTCTGTAACAGTGACTTTCAAATAAACAAATCTTTAAGAAAAAAATGATGAACGGTGAAACCTATTAGCAATGTCTTTGTTTTTCAGGTTGCTGGAGGAGCCAATATGAATCAGATTTCTGAAGCACTGAACCACTACAGGAATAGATCATGTTTTTTCAAAGAAGCTCTCTACAGGCTGTTCACAGAGACATTTTCAACGCAGGTAATCATGCCTGCAGTTTTAAAGGTAAGTGGAATTGCAAGTCAGACATATACTTTTGCAAAAAAAGATTATTAATATTTATATATATGGCAGAGTTACAGAAAGAAGAAGAGACAGAGATCATCCAACTGCTTGTTTCATCCCCAAATAGCTGCAACAGCTGGGGCAGGGAAAGGCCAGAGGCTGGAGCCTGCATTGTCATCCAGGACTGTCACATAGGTAGCAGGGGTCCAAACACTTGGGCCATAAATTAATTAAAGAATGAGATTTAGAGTATTTAGTGGTTTAGAAAGGAAATTTCCCAAAATACTTAATTGAAAATTTTTATGTGTTTTTTGAGACAGCTCCCATCTGCTCTTTCACTCCCCAAATATTTACAAATGCTTACAACAACCAGGATCAGGCTGGTTGTTTTAAGCTGGGTTGTAGCCATGATCTAGGAACTCAATCCAGATCTCCAACATGTGGCAGGATCCCAGTTACTTGAGCAAACACCTCTGCTTCAGAGGGTCTGCATCAGTGGGAAGCTGGAACCAGATCCAGGCATTTGATCCATATGGGACACAGGCATCTTAAACCCTAGGACAAATACCTACCCCATATTTATTTATTTTTTTAATGCATGTATTTTGTTAAAACTACATTTAAAGTCAAATGAAACATGAAAATGAATTATTTTTAAAGATTTATTTTATTAATTTGAAAGGCAGAGTTAAAGAGAGAAGAGACAGAGAGAGAGAGGTCTGACATCTGCTAGTTCACTCCTTAGGTGGTCGCAATTGCCTGGCTGGGCCAGGCCAAAGCCAGGAGTCAGGAGCTTCTTCTGGGTCTCCCACTTGTGTTCAGAGACCCAAGCATTTGTTCCATCTTCCACTGCTTTTCTCAGGCCCATTAGCAGCTAGCTGGATCATAAGTGGATTTAAACTGGTGCCCGCGTGGGATGCTTGTGTCGAAAGTAGCAGCTTAACCTGCTACACTACAATGCCAGCCCTGATTGTTTATTTTATTCTTTGCTGTTCCAAAACCATAGGGCTTTTTCTTCAGCATGGGACATTATATTTATTTACGACTAAAAATTGATACTACACAGGGATAGCCATTTTGGTACAGTCTGTTAAGCTGTTTGTGATGCCCACATCCCACATTGGAGTGCCTGGTTTTGAGTCTCAGCTATTTCCAATCCTGCTTCCTGGTAATGTACCTGGGAGGCAGCAGATAATGACCTAAGTTGCTTGGGTTCCTGCTACCCATATGGAGACCCTGATGGAATTCCCAGCCCCTGGCTTCACATTGGCCTAACCCTGGCTATTGTAGGCTTTTTTGTAGGCTTTTGAGGGGAGTGAACTAACAGATAGAAGATCTCACTTTGTCATTATGCCTTTCAAACAAGCAAACAAATCTGTTTAAAATGTAAAGATTGAATTAGATGTTTTAAAAGTCCGTTTTAGTCTTAAGATGCTGTGATTTCTATGAAAATCACATTTCTTTTTTTTTTTTTTAAGATTCATTTATTTATTTGAAAGAGTTACACGGAGAGAGGAGAGGCAGAGAAAGAGAGAGAGAGATAAAGATCTTCCATCCACTGGTTCACTCCCCAGATGGCTTCAATGGCCGGAGCTGTGCTGATCCGAAGCCAGGAGCCAGGAGCTTCCTCTGGGTCTCCCACATGTGTGAAGGGGCCCAAGAACCTGGGCCATTTTCCACTACTTTCCCAGGCCATAGCAGAGAGCTGGATCGGAAGTGGAGCATCTGGGACTTGAACCGCTGCCCATGTGGGATGCTGGTGCTTCAGGCCAGGGCATTAACCCGCTGTACCACAGCGCCAGCCCCGAGGTTTTTGCATTTTTAAATTGTATATGACGGCAGTCTGATGGAATCCCAGGAGCAGTTTAGCAAATGTACCACAAAAACAGTTGCATAAGTATATCTCAGTTTGGTCGCTAGGCTGCCTGTGCTCAGGTACCTGACAAAGTGAAGGGCTTTGGTCCCCTAAAATCACAGTTTATGTAAATATTAGTGTATGTAATTTAGAGATGAGCATCCTTATTTTGGCCCAGGAAATGAATCACAGTGTTGCTGAATGTTAAAGCTGGTAACAGTGGCTTCCTTGGGTATTCTTGCATTGTTTGGCATCAGATGACCTTTTTAAAATGTTTTCAGCTTTTCAGATTCTTAGTCTTTGCTGGTGGGTTTATCACACACTTTTTTCACTGTTTTTCTTCATCACACTTCCTCCACCTCCGTTTCCTCTGAAGACCCCGCCTCAATGGAATCTCTCAGTGAAGCCCTTCCATTCCCTCTCAGAAATGACTTCCTCCAGCTTCCTGAGGTAGCACTCTTCCATGGGGATTTTCTTCAGTGCCATGTTCTGGCATCCTTCACAGCTGCTACTTGTTTACATGCCCTCATCTTCCTCACAGGTGTTCACACTAAGAACTAGGGTGTGAGTCCAAGTCATGATTGTGTCCCCAGTAAGTGATTATGAAGTGAATTTCACAGGTACAGAAATGGAGGTCCCGAGAAGGAAGGTGACTGGCCTAAAGCCAACCACTACTTGAGGGCTGCAGTTGAATTAGAAGGTGTTACAGTAATTCATTGATGTCCTAAAGAGTAAATGCTGGCCGGCGCCGCGGCTCAATAGGCTAATCCTCTGCCTGCGGCGCTGGCACACTGGGTTCTAGTCCCGGTCAGGGTGCCAGATTCTGTCCCGGTTGCCCCTCTTCCAGGCCAGCTCTCTGCTGTGGCCCGGGAGTGCAGTGGAGGATGGCCCAAGTCCTTGGGCCCTGCACCCCATGGGAGACCAGGATAAGCACCTGGCTCCTGCCATCGGATCAGTGCGGTGCGCCGGCCGCAGCGTGCTGGCTGCAGCGGCCATTGGAGGGTGAACCAACGGCAAAAGGAAGACCTTTCTCTCTGTCTCTCTCACTGTCCACTCTGCCTGTCCAAAAAAAAAAAAAAAAAATTTTATTAAAAAGAAAGAGAGTAAATGCTGAGGATAGGGAAAGTCTTACTGTTCCAGGAAACTGATATTTTTGCCGACGGACCCCAGGCAATAAGACACTATACAGAATGTTCATGTTATCATAGGCCACTAAAACCAAGTTCATCTTCAGCTTGTGGCTATAGGAATGAGGAACCATCCACTGGACTTGGCAGTGCAGTTCACCGCCAGTGCTTGTGCCCTCAACTTGACTCGCCAGGGCCTGGCCAAGGGGATGCCTGTTCGTCTGCTGTCAGAGGTTACCAGTCTACTTCTCAAAGCTCTGAAAAATTTTCCTCAATACCCCCAGGTAATTTGAATTCTTCATTTCACTTTCTAATCTTAGGATAGATATATGAACAATATTTATTTTTTAGTAAAATATTCAATTCATCAAAATGTCTCATTCTGGGTTTTCACTCTATCAAAGAGAAAGAAAATAGATAAGGAATTCATGCTTGTTATAGGAAAAATAGGAAATATGGATTAATATTGAAGTTAAATTTTTTAAGATCCCTGATAAACCTGTTACCCAGAAACATGTTAGTATTTTAGGTAACCTTATAGGCTGAAAAACGTTGGTTTTTATTTCATCCCATTTATGAAGATTAAGTTAAATTAAAGCCATAAATCTCTGTCTTTGTTGTGGTGATGGTTACACAGATGTAAATTGTCAAATCTAATTGAAAAGTTTACTTATGGTAAGTTAATTTTTAAAAAAATACAGTCAGAAAGGCAGTATTTGTCATTTAAGAAATTTGCATTTCTGCCTTTTAAAATTTGCATTTCTTTCTGCCTGGAAGATCCGGCTAAGCTCAGTCTTTCCTACGTGACAATTATCAGTTGTGGGATTAAGTGCGGAACTTGAAGGGGCCAGGTACATAGTGAGTTCTCAATAAGAAAAGCTCATAGGGAACACCAGCCACATTTTTAGAGCCTTTATTTGAGGTGCAGTGTTAGAGTTGCTAAAAATTATTTTGTTTTATTCCCTAAAAGTTACAGAAGAATTGTCTTCTCTGCTTAACCAATTCCCGGATTCTTGCGGATGTTCCATTTGACAGGCAAGTACATCTTGGTCATCTCATTGGTGTTGATTATGTTACTCTGAGTGTTGCTGGCTTTTGCTTATTAGTTTAGCAGAAGCCTGGTGAAGTTTGTACTGAGCCTCTTGGACAGAAAGATGATTGGATAGATGAGTTCCAAAGAGTCAAATTCTAGCCCTTCCATTAGTTTTGTGCATGAGTTCCCTGTACAATAGTTAATCTTCTAATATTAGATATGATCATGTTTACAAAGTGTTTTCAATAGGGCCTGGCTTAAGAAGTATTGGCCTGGGGCTGGCACTGAGGCATAGCAGGTAAAGCCGCTGCCTGCAGTGCCAACATCCCATATGGGCACTGGTTTGAGTCTTGGCTGCTCCACTTCCGAACCAGCTCTCTGCTATGGCCTGGGAAAACAGCAGAAGATGGCACAAGTCCTTGGGCCCCTGCACCCACATGGGAGATCTGGAAGAAGCTCCTGTCTCCTGGCTTTGGATCAGCCCAACTCTGGCCGTTGCAGCCATTTGGGGAGTGGACCAGCATCTGGAAGATCTCTCCATCTCTCTCTCTCTGTAACTCTGTCTACAGAAATAATAAGTATTGGCCATTCCAGGGGAGGCCAGTATTGTGGTGCAGCAGATTGAACCATCCCATATTGGAATGCTGCTACATTTCTGATCCTGCTGCTTGCTGATGTGTTTGGGAAGGCTGAGGAGGATGACTTAAATGCTAGGGTCCCTGACACCCACATGAGAGACCTGGTTGTAGTTTTTGGCTTCTGGTTTTGGCCTGCCCAGTCCTGGCTGTTGCAGTCATTTAGGGAGTGAGCCTCTTGGTAGAAGATTACTTTCTCTCTCAGAAAAATAATTTTAGTCATTCTGCTATTATATTTGTTAATATTTGTTTATTTAAATGTTCTCCTGGTCTTCCCTCTTTTTTTTTTCTTTATTTATTTATTTGAAAGGCAGAGTTGCAAAGAGTCAGAGACAGAGAAAGGGGTCTTTTTATCCACTGGTTCACTTCTCATGTGGCCACAACAGCCAGAGCTGTACCGATCCGAAGCCAGGAAGTAGGAGCTTCTTCCAGGTCTCCCACCAGGGTACAGGGGTCATCTTCTACTGCTTTCCCAGGCCATAGCAGAGAGTTGGATTGGAAGTCGAGCAGCCAGGACCCGAACTGGCGGTCTTATGGGATGCTGGCACTGCAGGAGGGAACTTTACCCATTACACCAGCCCCTGGTCTTCTTCTTTACAGGAGGCTCTCGATTTTAATAGCTGAGACTCCAGAACGGGGGTGGTGAACCTTTTTTCTGACTGGGTTCATTTGGGTATTTATAACATCATTTGCTGGCCGTAGAAGTGTATCAACTTTGGCCCTGTGTTGTGACACAGCAGGTTAAGAGCTGCCTGTGACACTGGCATCCCATATGAGTCCCTGCTGCTGCCCTTCCAATCCAGCTCCCTGCTGATGTTCCTGGGAAAGCAAAAGAAGATGGTAGAAGTGCTTGGGCCTCTGCTCCCTCTGTGGGAGACCCAGATTGAATCCCCGGTTCCTGGATTTGGCCTGACCTGGACCTGGTCTGTGTCCATTTCAAGAGTGAACAAAGTAATTATCAACTTAAAAATGTATATATATTTGCCATATATAGCCAGACCAAATGACTTTGTGGGCTTTATATAGCCTGTGGCTGGACATTCCTCACCCCTGCTCCACAAGTACAAAACAAAACTGTTTTTCTTTCAGGATTTGTTGGGGAGGCTAAGTGATTTCTTCTGTCCCTATCTACAGTTTGATAAACTTTGTGTAATCATGAGAAAATGCATAATACTTTTCAGATTTTATGCTGCAAAGTTTGTTATGGGATGGCTGTGTAGGCATGAAGACCCCAAGATGCAAACAATGGCAGTGAGCGTCATCTCTATTCTAGTCCTCCAGGTATGTGACTGTCTAAAGGCAGGATATCCCTCTCGCTATTCTTAATAGATACTTCACTTTTTGCTTTCTGTTTGTAGCTCTCACCTGAGAGAATTTTACAGCTTAAAGAAGAGCTCTTCTCAGCAATTAAGGTAGGTTGATTATCATTTTTATAAGCTTTTCATGAAAATTTTATTAGCATGATTTTAAGAAATCAAATTATTCTAGAAGACCAATTAAAATGAAAAATCTATAAGATGTGTTCCCTGGAAGAAGCTTCCTACTCTTATAGCTGTTTCTTTTGATATTTACTTCTGCGTTTCTTTCTTTTTTTTTTTTTTTTTTTTTTTTTTTTTAGATTTATTTATTTATTTATTTGAAAGGCAGAGTTAGCAGACAGACAGACAAGTCTTCCATCTGCCGGTTCACTCCCCAGATGGCTGCAATGGCTGGAGCTGTGGCAGATCAAAGCCAGGACCCTGGAGCTTCTTCCAGGTCTCATATGTGGGTACCAGGGTCCAAGCACTTGGGCCATCTTCTGCTGCTTTACTGGGGCCTTTAGCAGAGCAGGGAGTTGGATTGGAAGTGGAGCGGCCAAGACTCCAACTGGCATCCATATCAGATGCTGGCATTGCAGGCAGTGGTCCAAGCTCTATAATGCAGGTCCTACGTCTGCATTTTGAAGTATAATGCTTATTGTGTAATTTCTTTTCTTTCTTCCTTTTTTTTTAAAAATTCATTTTATTTGAAAGTCAGAGTGATAGATTGTCTATCTACTTCAACCAACCCCAAAGCTGATAATTTTCTATGGTCCACAAATAATGTTATACAAGTAAATAATTTGACTTAGTTTGATTTAGCAGTGGGTGCTTGGTATAGTGGATGAGACCTCATTTGCAACCCCAGTGTCTTATATTGGAATGCTTGTGTTTTCCCATTTCCTTCTTCCTGCTGCTGTGTACCCTGGGAGCCAGCAGATAGGCCCATGTTGTTGAGTTCCTACCAATCACATAGGAGACCCAGATTGAGTTTCTTCTCAGCTCATGGTTTCAGCCTGGCCCTGCCCTGACAATTATGGACATCTGGAGAGTGAACCAATGGACTGGAGATCTGTATTTCTGTCTCTCTCTGCCTTTATTAAAATAATACAAATAGGGGCCAGTGTTGTGGCAAAGTGGGTAAAGCTGCTGCCTGCAAGGTCAGCATCCCATATGGGCACCAGTTTGGGTCCTGGCTGCTCTACTTCTGATCCAGCTCCCTGCTAATGGCCTGGGAAAAGCCATGGAACATGGCCCACGTGTTTGGACCCCTGCCACCCGTGTGGGAGACCTGCATTGAGCTCCTTCTCAGCTCATAATTTTAGCCTGTCCCTGTCCTGGTTATTTTGGGCATTTGGAGAATGAACCAGTGGATTGTAGGTCTGTATTTCACTCTCTGCTTTTAAAGTAATATAAGTAAATAAGAATTTAAACATCTATTTGATTTATTTGGAATTGTTTGAGGTACAGAGGTTTATATTTAACTTTTCTTCCTGACATTTTCTCACCTTTTGTAAAATCTGTCTTTTCTTCACTGTTAATGCTGTACCACATTAAACTCCCAGTTGATATTTGCATCTATTTCTTGACTTTGCTCTATTTACTTGTATGTTATTTACAATTTCATAAATGCTTTGATATGTAAAACCTTTTATTTTGGTTTGGTTATCCTTATCTGTTTTTTATATGCAAACACTGGAGTTGGCCTAATTATTCCAAGAAAATTCCTATTTTCTTTATATTGTGTTAGATTTATGATTAATTTAGATAAAGTGACATCTGCAATACTGATTTTCCTTTCTTAAAATACTGTATGTATCCCATTTATTGAAGTCAGAGTATTGATTTCTCACATGCTAGGGATGTCAATATACAGGGGATGTGGCTCAGAGAAGCTGCTGGTCCTAGAGAAATTCTGTTGTTTGATGAAATTACATAGGAGAGTGTGGAGTATGGAGACAAGCTGAGGGCTGAAATTTTCAGATACTTACTTAAGATAAGTATGTCAGAGAAGTGGGAGGGCCAGGAAAGGAGGGAAGATGGATCCAAAATAATTAGAAGGAAAACCTGAGAAGCGAGAGCAGTCTTAGAATCCAAGGAGAGTATTTCAAGAGAAATTGAAGAGTCCAGTGTAGTGCTGCTGAGAGGATGAGTAGCATGGGGTCAGAACCAACTACTAGATTTGGCAAGATACAAATTAGTCATACTGCTTATTGTGATTTTAGTGGAGTAGTGGCCCAAAATGTGGTGAGCAAATATGAGATGAGAAATGGAGACTTTTTGATGTATTTAGGGAAGCAGAGGAAGCAAGATACTGTAATATAGGGTCAATATTTTGTTTTAAGATTGGTTATGGTAAAACATTGTATAGAGGTTTGGGGGAGCAGATGGTATAAGTAAAACAGAGGGAAATGATTTGATGCCAAACCTTTTTTTTTTTTTTAAGCTTATTTATTTATTTTAAAGTCAGAGTTATACCGAGCGAGAGAGAGGTCTTCCATCTGCTGGTTCACTCCCCAACTGGCTACAATGGCCAGAGCTGAGCTGTTCCGAAGCCAGGAGCCAGGAGCCAGGAGCTTCTTCTGGGTCTTCCATGCAGGTGCAGGGGCCCAAGGATTTGGGCCATTCTCCACTGCTTTCCCAGGCCATAGCAGAGAGCGGGATCAGAAGTGGAGCAGCCCAGACTTGAACCAGCGCCCATATGGGATTCTGGCACTGCAGGCGGCGGCAGCTTTACCTGCTATGCCACAGCACCAGCCCCTGATGCCAAATCTTTGCAGGAATTGGATTTCTAGAAATAAAGATGTTGGTTTCAGATTGGAGCAGAAGCCAAGGAAGGCAGAGTATATTGACACAGTTGTGAGTAGGCTGTTGGCTCTATTTATTTATTTATTTATTTTAAGATTTCTTTATTTTTATTGACTTGAAAGGCAGAGTTACAGAGAGAAAGGTCTTCTGTCTGCTGGTTTACTGCCCAGATGGCCGCAGTGACTGCAGTTGAGCCCATCCGAAGCCAGGTGCCAGGAGCTTCTTCTGGACCTCCCACATGGGTTCAAGGGCCCAAGCACTTGGCCACATTAGCAGGGAGCTGGATCGGAAATGGAGAAGCCAGGATTCAAACTGGTGCCTATATAGGATGCTGGCACCACAGGCGGTGGCTTTACCACAGCACCAGCCCTGGTTGTTGGCTTTTGTTAAAAAGAGCAGCAGAAGTTCTCAGTGAAGAGTAAAATGAAGTCATCTAACAAGGGGTGGGGTGGAGGGGGCCAGAAAATTAGGAAATAGTCGTCTTTGGGGCAAATTCACTGGGAAATAGAGTAGTAGTAACATATTCATTTGTCTCCCCTGTAGAAATTCATTTTGAAAGTGAGACCAGTTGAGCTAGCTGTTGAAACACCCAGATGTTTTGGAGGAGGCATAAAGTAAAGGGACAGTTAAGTTTAACTCAGATTGGATTTTGCTGAGTGGCGAGATTGAGGTTAAAGTTGTTGAAAATGGCTGCAGGACTAGACGGTGAATACTGGAAGCAGCAGACTGGGAAGAGTAATACTAGAGAGCAGGTTTTTTTGTTTTTGTTTTTTTTTTTGTTTTTTTTAAAGATTTATTTTATTTGAAAGGCAGAGTGACAAAGGTACACAGAGAGTTCTTCCTTCTGCTTGTTCCTCAAATGGCTGCAATGGCCAGGGCTGGACCAAGCGAAAGCCATGATCCTGGACTCCATCTGTGTCTTCCATGTGTGTGCAGGGCCTCAAGTACTTAGGCCATCCTCCACTGCCTTCCCAGGCACATTAGTGAGGTGTTGGACTGGAAGTGGAGCAGCCAGGACACAAATCAGTGCTCATATGGGGTGCTATATCCGACAGTGGCTTAACCCGTTGTACCCAATACTGATCCCAGTACTAGAGTTCTTAAGACAATTTTAGGTGGTAATTTGGGAGAGTTGGGCATTGTGGGACACAGGTGGGACACCCACATCCCTTATGGGAGTGCCTAGGTTTGTGTCCTGCCTCCACTTACCATCAAGCTTCCTGCTAATGCATAGTGGGTGAGATAGCAGAAGTATCGAGATAGCTCAAGTATTTGGGTCTCTGCTTTCCATGTGGATGGAGTTCCTGGCTCCTGACTTTGACCTTTCCCAGTCCCAACTGACATGGGAATTTCGGGCTATTTTTTATTTTCTTGTCTGTCTTTCCTACCTAAATTAGTATCTGACTAATTTTGACTAAGCATTCTAAATATATAAATAAATGGAATTGTCTATAAATGTAGCTCATTATGAGCTTTATAGCAAGTTGGACCACGTGTGCATTGAACCTTTTTGTTTTTATATAATCCTAATAAAAGCCATAAGAGGGAAGTAATTGAAAGAGAACAGATCAGAAAAATATATTAAATGGTAGGACTTGGGTTTACAATCCGGGTTGGATTCTAAAATTCTTCACTATATTGTTCTTCTTAAACTGAAATTGAATCCATCAGTTGGGCATCTAACTCCCTTTCTCTTTGGTTTTTAGGAACTGCTGGTGATATTAAAACAAAAGACTACTGAGAAGTTACATGATATCACCTTCTTGTTCACTTTGAAAGCACTTTGGAATCTCACAGACGAGTGTCCAGCTGCATGCAAGCACTTTGTTGAACATCAAGGATTGCCCATCTTCATTCAAGTCTTGGAGGTGGGAAGACAGAATTGAATTTATATGCAAAGTTCTTTTGTTCATGATAAAGTAACCTGTATGTTCTCTTGACAGACTTTTCCGGAATCAGCAATACAAAGCAAAGTACTTGGTCTTTTGGTAAGGTGAATTCCTTTGAACTCATTTACAGAAAACTAACACCTGTTTAGTACCTACTACATGCTAGCCACTGTTGTAAGCAATTTAATCTTCACATTGTCCCTTAAAGTAAATACCATTTACCATTGTAGATCAGTTATCTATTGCTGAAAACAGACTATAGCTTAGTGGCTTAAAACAATAGCCCATTTATTTATTAATTTATTTATTTTAAAGATAGATTTATTTATTTGAAAGGCAGAATTACAGCTGAGCCAGGTGCTTCCTCCCGGTCTCACATGTGAGTGCAGGCACCCAAGCACTTGGGCCATCCTCCACTGCCTTCCAGGGCTACAGCAGAGAGCTGGACTGGAAGAGGAGCAATCGGGACTAGAACCCGGTACCCATGTGGGATGCCGGCACCACAGGCAGAGGATTAACTAAGTGAGCCTCGGCGCCAGCCATTGTTTTGTTTTGTTTTTGAGGATTTATTTATTTGAAAGGCAGAGTTACAGAAAGAGAAGAACACACACACACAGAGATTAATTTTTTCATCAGCTGATTTACCCCCAAAATGGCTGCAGTGTCTGGGGATGGGCCAAACAGGAGCCAGAAGCCAGGAGCTTCAGCTGGGTCTCCCACACAGATGCAAGGACCCAAGCACTTGGGCAGGCCTTTTAGTCTTGTCTGCTTAATCCCACCATGCCACAACACTGGCCCCCAGGCAATCAGTTTTTTGAAATTTCATTGTTCTTGCTTCTGTGCTGTCTCTCAAATCAGTTTATTCTATAATTAAGAAGTTTCTTAAAGATAATTGTGAAGATTTACAAAAAGTGTTGAAGACATACCATAAGCACCTGCAATTTGCCATGCTGGTTACAGTGGGAAATAATAATCCTATGATTGTATAACTAATATATATGAAGCTGTCTTGCCATCGGCCATGCGACAGGCACACTTCGAGCTGACTCTGCAGACTCTGGAAGTAAATGGTTGCGGAAGGGTGGAGCTCACATGGCCGGGAACTTGGGCAGCTTCTGACAGGAGCTGACGGCAGCCTCCAGCAAGAGGCTGAGCTGCAGTGAATTCCCAGAAAGGGAATTGTTACTGTGTTTTTAAATTAAGAAATTCATTTCAGTTCTGAAGTAACACACTAGTTTGTAGTATATGTGTGACTAATTATTAATAATTTGAAAGGAGAGTGAGAGACAGATACAGCTGCCACCTGCTCATTCACAGTGTCCAGGGCTGGACCTGACTGGTGCCAGGACCTGGAACCCAATCTAGATCTCTGTGGGTGGCAGGAACCCATGTCAAGAATAAATGAGATAAGGCTGATAGACACTTTTTTTTTTAAAAAAAATTTATTTATTTATTTGAAAGAGTTACACAGAGAAGGAGAGGTAGAGAGAGAGAGGAGTCTTCCACCCACTCCCAAGTTGGCCGCAACAGCTGGAGCTGCGCTGATCCAAAGCCAGGAGCCTGGACCTACTTCCCGGTCTCCCATGTGAATGCAGGGGCCCAAAGACGTGGGCCACCTTCTGCTGCTTTCCCAGGCAATAGCAGAAAGCTAGATAGGAAGTGGAACAGTTGGGACTTGAACCAGCACCCATATGGGATGCCGGCACTGCAGGCGGTGGCCACAGCACCGGCCCCTGATAGACACTTTTATTTCCCTGGTATTGTGCCTGGCTGTAGTAAGTGCAATGTTTGTTATTAATGGTCATCATCAAGGGCTGAGATTGGGCACTGGGGAGATTGGGGTGGGGATGGGAGTGAGTGTTATAGGTGGGGCTGAGCTGAGCAGAAGGAAGAGAAGAGCCAGATCTTGATTCTCCTCCTTTCGTGTTCCTGATGTTCTCTGCTGCCTGGCACCTGTAGAACAACATTGCCGAAGTCACAGAGCTCTCGTGCGCACTGATGAGCAGCGAGGTGCTGCAGCATGTCAGCAGCTTACTCCACAGCAAGGAAATAGAAGTCAGCTATTTTGCTGCAGGTATCATAGCCCATCTGACATCCAACAAGCAGCTCTGGAAATACCGTGGCCGTCAGAGGAAAACTGTTCTCCGAGATCTGGTACGTGAACCATTTTCTTCTGTACAAAATCCAAAGTAAGTTCTTGTGTAAGACTTCTAGATTGTAAGAATTTTGGAGATAGATGATCATTGTAGAAGATCATTGCTCCAGGCGGCGCTGGCACACCGGGTTCTAGTCCCGGTCAGGGCGCCAGATTCTGTCCCGCTTGCCCCTCTTCCAGGCCAGCCCTCTGCTGTGGCCCTGGAGTGCAGTGGAGGATGGCCCAAGTGCTTGGGCCCTGCACCCCATGGGAGACCAGGATAAGCACCTGGCTCCTGCCTTCAGATCAGCACAGTGTGGCGGCCATTGGAGGGTAAACCAATGGCAAAGGAAGACCTTTCTCTCTGTCTCTCTCTCTCTCACTGTCCACTCTGCCTGTAAAAAAAAAAAAAATCATTGCTCCTTACCAATGCCCTGCCACCCACAGTTAATCTCTGTTAACTTTTTTTTTTTTTTTGAAGATTTATTTACTTTTTGAGAGGCGGAGTTACAGAGATGCAGAGGCAAAGGCAGAGAGAGAGAGAGATCTTCCATCCACTGGTTCACTCCTCAAATGGCCACCATGACTGGGGCTGGACCAGACTGAAACCAGGAGCCAAGAGCTTTTTCCTGGTCTCCCACATTGGCACCGGGGTGCAAACATGGAGTCCTCTGCTTTCCCAGGCCATTAGCTTGAAGCTGATCAGAAGTGGAGCAGCCAGGACTCCAACCAGTGCCTATATCGGATGCCAGCATTGCTGTCAGCAGGTTAACCTGCACCACAGCACCCGCCCCCTCTGTAAACATTTTTGTAGTCCTTCCAGTGGCTTTTTCAATTTGTTCATTTATTTGAAAGAGCTATAGAGAGAGGGTGTTTCCATGAACTCCTTTTTGTTCTTTGAGCCCTTTTTTCCCCCTAAAGATACACTGAAAAGGCATTGTGATAGAGTGGGAAGGAAAGACAGAGTGGAGAGGTCGTCCATCTGCTGGTTCACTCCCCAAATGGCCGCCATGGCCAGGACTTGCCTAGGATAAAGCCAGGAGTCTGGGACTCCATCCAGGTCTCTCAAATGGGTGCAGGGGCCTGGACAATTCCATTACTTTCTCAGGTGCGTTAGAGGGAGCTGGATCAGAGGTGCAGCAGCTGAGACTCAGAGCAGTGCTCTCATATGCAGTGGCAGCTTCATAAGCAGCGACCTAACACTGTGCATTTATTTGAAAGGCAGTTAGAGAGGAGATCTTCCATCCATTGGCTTACTCCCCAAATGGCCACAACCATTCAGACTGAGCCAGGCTGAAGCCAGCAACCACAAGATTTATTTGCCTCTAGCTCTCCCAGGGAGTGGCAGGCACTAAATACTTGGGCTATGGCCATCTTTTACAACTTTCTCAGTCATATTAGCTGGTATTTGGATCAGAATTAGAGCAGCCCAGATGGGAACCACGGCCCATGGGGATACTGGTGCTTCAGGTGATAGCTTACCCTGCTGCACCACAACACAGGCCCCTTCTTTCACTGGTCTTTTTCTTAAATACAGTATCCTATTGTCTTCTGCTTGCTATCTTTAAAGGTATAAATGATAGCTACTACATTTTTTAAAAAGCTATCGTCCAAGATTTCTGTTAAGTTTGCCTTTTTTCCTCTTTATTTTATCCCTTTTCTTAAAGTGTATGCTAATTAGCTATACACTGTTTTCTTTTCCTTCAAAGATTTATTTATTTATATATTTGAAAGGCTGAGAGAGAGATAGAAACCTTCCATCTGCTGCTTCACTCTCTGAATGCCTAAATAGCTGAGGATGTGCTAGGCCAAAGCTAGGAGCACTGAACTGCATCCCTGTCTCCCATGTGGATGGCAGGGACCCAGGTAACTGGGTCATCATCTGCTTTCCCAGATTCATTAGCAGAAAGCTGAATGGGAAGCAAGGTAACCAGGGTTCTAACCAGCACCCTGAAATGGGATATGGTGGCTTAACCCACTGCCTGTCCCATGTCCACTTTTACCTATTAATGAGGCTTTTTGGAAGCTGTGTGCTAATGGGTAGAACTTGTCAACTGTGGGCTTCACTACAGAGTGATTTGGACTGGATGTCCTTTAGTGTCAGTGCCTTAAGATCTTTGGCTCTTTGTCCTAAACTAGTTGGAATGCACCTGTGTGAAATCTACATGCTTAGTTGTCAGCAGTGGGAAAGCCCACTAACGGAAGAATTGAGGGCAGGGGATCTGAGGATTTAGTGTTTAGATTTTCACAGCACAGTTTTTAGCATGGTGCTGCCATCCTTAGTTGTTTATGGGGTTTGCCCAGTCCAGTAGTTTTTGTTAAGGATGGGAGAAAAGATGTAGGAGCCTTAATCTTTGACCCTTTCCTCCAGTTTTCTCAAATTTCACTTCAGAAAGTACCTGGTGTGCAAATATTTACTTATTTGAGAGGGAGAGACAGAAAGGTCTTCCATCCACTGGTTCACTCCTCAAATGGCCACAACAGCCAGGGCTGGGCCAGGCCAGAGCCAGGAGCAAAGAGCTTCTTCTGGATCTCCCACACAGATACAGGGGCACAGACACTTGGGCCATCCTCCAACTACTTTCACAGGCCATAAGCATAGAACAAGATCGGAACAAGAGCAGCCAGGACACAAACCAGCACCTGTATGGGATGCTGGTGCTGCAGGCGGAGGCTTAACCTACTATGCCTCAGCGCCAGCCCTGCACATATTTCTTTTTAAAGAAATTTATTTATTTGAAAAGCAGTATGACAGATCTTCCATCTGCTGGTTCACTCTACAAATGGCTGTAGCAGAAGGGATCAGACTAGGCTGAAGCCAGGAACCATCTAAGTCTCCCATGTGGGTGTCATTTGAGCCATTATCAGCTCCTGCTGAGGTGCATTAGCAAAGACTGGTTCATAAGCAGAGTAGCTGGGACTCAAACTGGCACTCTGAAATGGGCATGCAGGAGTACAAGGGTCTCATCCCACTGTGCCACAAAGTTTGCCTCTATTGTGCAAATTTTAAATGCCTTAGGGTTGTCTTCAGTTTATTCATTTGAAAGTTAGAAGAGAATACCTTCCATGTGCTGGTTCATTCTCCATATGGCTGCATGGGCTATGGCTGGGCCTGCATGCTAAAGGCCATCTCTTACGTGGCTGCAGGGCTCTGCTTTCCCAGGCACATTAGTAGAGAGCTGGACCAGAAAGTGGATTAGCCAGGACTTGAACAGGAGCTAATATGAGATGCTGCTGTTGCACAACCTGTTGTGCCACAAAGCTGGCCCATCACCTTCTGTTTTATCCCATTTTTATTATTCTGTTAATGGAACGTAAGGACAGAATACAAGTAATAAATAGTGTGGTCAGTACACTGTCTTTGAAAAAGTTTCTTGGAGATAGCATTGTGGCATAGCAGTTTAAACCACCTGCAACGCCAGCATCCCAATCTCGGCTGCTTCACTTCTGATCCAGCTCCCTGTTAGTACCTGCACCTGGGAAAACAGCAGACGATGGCCCAAGTACTTGGGCCCTTGCCAACCTTCGGGGAGACCCGGATGAAGCTCCTGGCCATCCCCTGTGGCCATTTGGGGAATGAACCAGCTGATGGAAGTTCTCTCTCTGTATCTCTCCCACTTTCAGTTGATCATTTGATGAAGTAAGTATCTAATTTTAATCATTTGCCTTATTTTGAAAATTTTAAGTATCTGTAATTTTAAAGAACATGAAGTAGTCTGTCATCTTTTTTAAATGGTAGAATATAATATTCGAATCTGGTCTTCCCCCAACTCCTCTGTTTTTGTTTTTTTGTGTTGGTATAGCATGCAGCCATCCAGAATTGGCCAAGTTCAAGTTGTAAGATGTCATCATTAGTGACCTACAGGTAATCTCATGACGATGTATAATACTTTTCTTTAAGTATCTGCTCAGTGATACAGTAGTAATGCATAAGCATCAGTTAGCCTTATGTTTAAGTCCTTTTTATCTGTAATACTGTGAAAGACTGTATCTAGAAAATCCGAGGCTTAGTTTTTCTCATCTATCAAATGAGGCTGTACAAGATGGAAGATGAAATGAGATAATGAGATAATGATACCAGTGTCTGCATACAGTGCAACTTAGTGACTGGTATCGCCCAGTGTACAGTCAGGAATGGATCTGTTTGGTGAGGAATTGACCCTGGGGGAAAAGTTTTGAACATTAATATATTCTTGAACTTTAGCTTGAGTACTCAGTTAACGTATTTGTATCTTTTTAGATCCTTCAAGCCTTTTTTCCCACTGCTTGGCAACTTCTGTCAACCAGAGGTTCAACTCTGGGCACTGTGGGCCCTGTGTCATGTCTGTAGTAAAAACCGTACGTATTCAAAACAGTACTTTGCTTGCTAGTTTTCTGTGTTAAAAATTCAAGATGGATTCTGAAAAATCATTCACTTATGTTCTCCACAGGTAGCTTTTTCTACAATGTTCATAGAAAATGGAATAAAAGATAATGCATATTGCACATGGCTTTTTTTTTTTTTAAGATTTGTGTATTTATTTGAAAGGCAGAGTTACAGAGGGACAGGGAAAGAGATGCAGAGAGAGAGAGAGAGCTCTTCCATCTGCTGGTTCACTCCCCAAGTGGCCACATCATCCAGGGCTGGGCCAGGCTGAATCCAGGAGCTTCTTCTGGGTCTCCCACTTGGGAGACAGGAACCCAAGCACTTGGGCCATCTTCAGCTGTTTTCCGAGGCACATTAGCAGGGAGCTAGATCAGAAGTGGAGCAGCCAGGACTTGAACCGGTGCTCATATGGGATTGTGACATCACAGACAGCAGCTTTACCTGCTTTGCTACAACGCTGGCCCCAATCCTTTTAACAATTTTTGTAAACAATCTTATGTTTTTAACAGTTTTTAAAAAGATATATATATATATTTACAAGAAAGGCAAAGCTATTGAGACACTGGTTGGTACACCTGCATCCATAACAGAATGCCTGTGTTTGAGTCCCACCTCTGCTTCCAGTCCTAGCTTCTTGCTAATGTGCACCCTGGCAGGTAGCAGTGAGGGCCCCGCCCATGTGGGAGATAAGGATTGAATTCATGGCTCTGGCCTTTGCCCAGTCCTGGCCATTGTAGGCATTTAGGGAGTGGATCAGCAGATGAGTTATCTCTCTTTCTGTCTCTGTCAAAGAAATACTTTTTCAAAGAACAGCCTTCAGAACCACACTGTGCTTTGTTTCCAGTTTCTGTGGTTTACCAGCTGCAAACTTGAGCAAGTGGCTTAACCTGACTGTGCCTCAGTTCCTTCTTCTGTAGAATAGATAATGGTACCTACTTCACAGGATTGAAGGATTAAGTGTGTTAATATTTATAAAATATCTTACTTATCTTGTTTAACTAATTTATTTGAATGGCCATTACAGAGAGCCAGAGAATTGTTTTATCTTTGTGAATTGAAGGCAAAAGTGATAGTCTGTTGACGTTCATTTTAAGTGAGTGTTAAGTCTTTTCACATGAATCATTTTGTTTTTATAAATTCCCTTTTGATATTTTTTGGGCACTTTCTGTCTGGTCTTTTTTATTCAAAGGGAATTAAAAAAAAAATTTTTTTTTTGAAAGATTTATTTGATGGCCGGCGCCACGGCTCACTAGACTAATCCTCTGCCAGGTTCTAGTCTTGGTCGGGGTGCCGGTTCTGTCCCAGTTGCTCCTCTTCCTGTCCAGCTCTCTGCTATGGCCTGGGAAGGCAGTGGAGGATGGTCCAAGTCTTGGGCCCCTGCACCCCATGGGAGACCAGGAGAAGTACCTGCCTCCTGCCATTGGATCAGCGTGGTGCGCCGGCCGCAGCGGCCATTGGGGGATGAACCAATGGAAAAAGGAAGACCTTTCTCTCTGTCTCTCTCTCTCACTGTCCCCTCTGCCTGTCAAAAAAAAAAAAAAAAAAAAGAGAGAGAGAGAGAGAGAGAGAGAAAGAACTGGATCGGATTGTGCTGTGGCACAGTGCCAGCCCCAAATCTTCGTTCTTTCTTCAGAAATGTAAATGTAGTGACTTGGGAATAAAGTGCCGATTGTCCATGGAGTTTCCTTGCTTTTCTTTCAGCCAGCAAATACTGCAAAATGCTTGTGGAAGAAGGAGGATTTCCGCTTTTGTGCAACATCCGGGATCACAAGAGGGCACATCCCCAAGCACAGCAGCTCGCGGCCTCCATTCTCGATGACTTCCGAATGCACTTCATGAATTACCAGAAGCCCTCTGTGTGCCAGGTGCCGGTTCTCACCTGAGTGCCTGCAGCTGTGCCCTCTGCTGTAGCTTTCCTCGTTGAATTCTGTGTTGAAACCAGCTGTGCGAGTTTGTGGAGCAGCCATCTTATTACCTTTCTTTGTTGGTCTCTGTAAGTTTCAAAAGCTTGCGTTCATTCTATAGCATCATCCGGATCAGGTTGGAATTCGTCTGGGGACACCTTGTTGGTAGCGGTTTTGGATAACTCGAACCATGGATGCTCTGGGGTGAGTCGGGGGCTTGTCTCACGCAGCAGTGCCAGCTTCTCTTCTGCAGCGCAGATGCTTCTTCATTCAGAGGGTGTCCTGAGGCCAGGACCCTTCACCCTCAAGGGAAAGCAAAAAGACCACAGGGCAGCCTGCATTGTTGATCCTCCTTCCAGGAAGCCACTGTGCTTTGAGAAGACAGAACCTCTGCTGGAAGGGAGAAGTGATTTTTTTTTTTTTTTAATGGCACCTTCTACCTTTTACAAATTACCTTCTACTTGAGGCAGAGAAAGGTAAAATACGTTTTTTAACCATTTTGGGTTTTCTCCCTTGCAGCTTCACTGATCAGACCGGGGGAGCATGGCATTGTGTCTGCTGGTGTGATGGGAGTACCTAGTGGGCCTTAGGGCCGGGGAAAGGTATTGCCAGAAGGGCCCCTGCGCCCCCCAGGCTCTTCTGAGAATCAACTGCAATTTTAAATGTTTCTGAGAATAAAGTAGCATCCTGCTTGATTGTCAGGATATTTTCAGAATAGTTTTTTGTAGAGTGCCATTTGTACTGTCCTTTGGAATCAAATGGGGAAAACAGCTCATTTTTCCTTATTCTACGCCGTGTCCCAAGCTATGAGAGTTCCTGGCAGTACTGAATGCTAGCTTTTGCTAACAGGAGGATGCACCATGGAACCCTTGTCTCTTGAGGTCCAGTGCGTAGCAGGCACCCCTTCAAGTATGGGCTCATTTACAACTCCCTGGGGCAACTCAGTGTCTCGTCCTCCCTTTGCAGAGTGCCCACAGCTGGTGTGCTGGTGCCGCTCTCACGCCACCGGCTCTCTGTGAGCCTCCCTCCCAGGACGCAGGGGCACAAGAGCAGCAAATCCATAGTGTCACTGGCCAGTGTCTGTGCCCAGCCAGAGCCCCAGCCCACTTAGGGAATGACCACAAGTCCACTGCTGGAGAGGTGGCCTGGGTCCTAGAGGAGCAGGGCTGCCAAGACCAGTCTGTGCAGGTGAATGCTGGCCCCTTTTCTTCAGGACGCTCTCTGCTTACTCACCTTCGCTCTTGCCCTCCTCCTCAGCGCCTTCAGGCTTCAGTTCAATGTAACTGCCCATTCCCTACCCTTGCTTCTCCACCCAAGCCAGCCACTCCCTCAGTGCTCCTGAAGGCCAGGAGTCCCCTGCTGCTCTGCGATGGACAAGGAGGCGTGCCTCAGTGCTCAGGTTCCTCCTTCACAGCAACACTAAGTGAACAGTCACAACACATTTATTAATAGTTTCCTGTTCCAGGAGTCGAAGCTGAGGCCCAGAGCGCTTATGGATCTGTAGTGATTCCTGACACACATGTAGACCAACACCATGATTTATTTATGATCTCTGTTGTCCAGAGCCCCTGACAACTGCGAGGCACCTGAGAGCCAACGATGCAAAGCCACGCAGGGACCCGGGTTAATTCTTGGTCCATCATCTGAGGAGGGGGCTGGCTGGTTTCCAAAGCACACCCCAACCCAGTGATTGTCCAGTAAGGAAGGCAGCAGTGAAGTGATGTGGTCAGCACCTTGGTGTCAGTCTTTTCTGTCCATTGCTGTCCTCGCGATGAGGCAGCAGTCCGATTGCAAGCTTTCCGCTGGGCCCTGCTCCGGAAGGCACACATCACCATGCCAGTGCTTCAGGGTCACTTGCCAATAAACCTGGGGGGCCGCTTCTCCCTGAAGGCTGCCATGCCCTCCAGCCGGTCCTGCGTTGGAATATTCTGCAAGGACGCATGAAACACTAGTTTGAGGGAACACAGCCAGAGGCCAAAACTGCTGCCCAAGTTTGCCCAACCCATGATAAGGCTGTAGCCCAAGTGTTTTCCCTTGTCTTGGACTCTGGAGGTTCTGTGGCCCACACCATTGGTGTCTGTGTGCACCCTGCTTCCATGTCCCCAGCAAACTCCCTGCCTCCCGTGGCAGCAACCTGAGAGGAGGCTGCTCAGTAGAGGAGCAAGCTTAGGCTCTGATCTCGTGTGCACAGCTAGTTCACACCAGGCTGTGTGAGTGCCAGGACTCCTTGCGTAGGAGTATTTTGGGTATTTGTCAACTTGGAGATGAGTGTGTTCTGCAGGGTCCGGGGCAGGGCTGAATTGGTCAGCCCCAGGTGTGCGGCACCTCCACTGAACACATTCTACAGGCCATAACGAAGGCCCTGACATCCCAACGCCAGCCTGGGGCAGCAGAAACTATTCCTCCTCTTTGTCACCAGCCTGCGCTTGGGCACGCTGCCGTTAGCTGGTTGAGGAAGCCGTCTCAGAAGCAGTGTGGGGCCCAGGGAGTTGGGAGGAACTTCGGGAACTGGGGCCACAAGGCTCCCCTGCTCTGGCCCAGCCACTCACAAGCATGCGCATCCTGGCAGCCGCCCCTTACCTGGGCATAGCAGATCCCTTCAATGGCCATCCCTGATGCGATGTCCACCTGTGAGTAAAAGTGGACGTAAGGAAGATGTCAGGAGAATCCAGTCCCTGAGTTCTTGTCACTCGGACTGTCTACATGAGCCTTAACAATCCGTGTCCTGCTCACGACACTTCAGTGGACCCAAGTCCCAACCTAAAACCCCCTCACCTCTATTCCTCGGTCAATGGCAACTTTGCCCAGCCGCACAGCGATGGGGGCCTAGGGAGAAGAGAGGAGTCTGAGTGGGGCATCAGTGGAACTACAGATGGGCAGGCAGAGGTCTGGGTCTCGTGCAGGCTGTTGTAGTGAGCTGTCTTGTGTTGCAGTCCGTGTTCTGCCTCTTAGTTAAGGTTCCTTTCTTAAAATGAAGGAAGCTGGACTCTCTGACCCTTGACCTTCCCAAACATGACTAAGTTGAGGTTCCAGGAAGTGAGGCACTTGCCTACGTTTAAGCTTGGATTTGACTCCCGGTCACTGGAGAGCCTCCGTTACTACCCCTTCCTCTACTCCCTCAACCCAGATGTCCACCTCCACTGCAGGTTTCTGTTAGGAAATCCCAGGGCTGGGTGCTTTGCTCCTGCCACGACAGCTACAGGATCCGCCCCCAGGCCCATCTGCGGCCAGGCCCTCATACTGTGTTAACTGTATATAAGAAAGACTGTCAGAAAAAGGCAATTTTAAAGTCAGCATTGAAGCCATAAATAAAGTCTAGCTAAACAAAAATGAGTAACTTCAGAGAGAAAAATATCCCATGATACAAAAGTCAGAAACTGAGAAAAAGTTTTTCCAATTCTTCTTGGAAAAATTTCTTTTAGTAAAAGTGTGAACATTCCCAACAAAGTGTCTGTAAAGGGAAACAAAGGTCTGAAAACATTTTCACAAGAAACTATAGACATGAAGTATGCCCACTTCAGTCTAGAGAAATGGAAATCAAAACAGGCTCAGTGTCCCTTTTCATCACTGATTAGCATGAAAATGAGGGTTGCTTGCATTGTTGACAGAGGAAATTGGGACAGTGCCTCAGGAAGTCATTTGGGAAAAGCCAGCAAAGCATTAGATGCACCCCCTACTGATACTCCTTGCAGGCATCAACCTTACAGACACACTTCCAGAAGTACAGTCATTTATTGGTATTCTGCAGTAGGAAAAAGATAGAAACTACATCGAGTTTCGTGGTCTTGGGTACTGGCTAATTAATGATGCCTTACCCATACCATGTACAAAAAGTATGCAGGTCCAAACAGTGGGTTCAATCAGTGATGTGCTCGGATGCAAGAATCTCCAGTGTGTGAATGGTAAGGTGCACACTAGTGCGAATGCTGGAAAGTGTTGGTGCGCACGCCTGCGACGTGACATATGTTACATTCTTCCATGCTGTGATTCTGCACTGTGCACAGTTAACTTTGTGCTTAAAATTTAAAATAAAATCAGTAAAAGGAGTACAGTTATTTAAGTATGTGGGTACATGTGAATGATTTTTTGTATGCTGTGGAAATTCCAGGAGGGAGGTGTACACTGTCAACAACGGTCACCTCTAGGGAGAGGGACTGGGGAATAGAGGGCTACTTGGATTACCATCTGTCCTGTGTCGTGAATATGTAACTCAAAGACTACAGAAACCTGGGACTTTGACTTTTAAAACTGGGATAGCCACAGGTAAACTAAGATGGCTGGTCGCCTCACTTTGGATCTTTGCCATGTGAGCTTCTCATTCCTCTGTTCTGTGTGATTTGCGTGTCAGGGCCATGTATTTAGGTAACTATCCAGTCAAGAAACTGACCTTTCAAGAGAATGATCAGAAATGTGACTGATAATTTCATGTTATTTGGAAATGAGAACAGCGAGACATACTATGGCCACAAAATGTTCCATCCTTTTGATGTTCAAATAAACAGCCAAATGTACCCTTCAGAGGACACTGCACACTGAGCACGGTAGGAGGAAACTTGAGTGTTAAGATGCCGGATGTGTTGGATGCTGCGGCCACTAGATGGCAGCCACCTCCACCCCGGAGCACCCAGAGCCACTGCTGCAAGGGCCCCTGTGGGGCTGGTGGCTGGGGTAATGGTTTTGATGGCTGATGTGGTACAGAGAGCTACAACCGTGTTAGTACCATTGTTTCCGTGTGCAAGAGGGCTTCACAGAGTTCACGGGGAGTGGGATTAAAGAGAATGCTCCTTTTCCACGGGCACTTTAAAGCTCCTTAAGTTTTTAGAAACCTGCATCTTGAGATTCCTTTTGTACGAAAGAACAAAACCTAAAAAGAATAGAACAGGGGTTTTTTCTAAATAAACTCTTGTTTGAGTATTTTCTGCTAATGTTGTAGCTAATTTTATAGGCTTATATTTTAACTGTTTTATGGCATGTTGTAAATTTTTATATTTGAAACGCATTACATATTTTTTTTAATTTGGTACCTATTTGGCACTCTTAAAAATTAAATGCCAGAGTCTATATTCTGTGTTGTGCAAAACACCAGTGTTGTTTTCTTCTGATGTGGTAACTTCTTGTGACCACATGGGCAAGTCACCTGACCTCTCTGGGTCTGTCTCCTCGGATGGCACGGGCAGTGAGCTCACCTGGGGCAGGATCTCCTGGGCCAGTGTCCGGGCTCGCTGGTAGGCGGCGTCGCCCTCCTCGTTCTGGGCCACGGCGTGATTTACCAGCCCGAGCGTGTGGGCCTGGACCCCGCTTAGCCGCCGGCCAGTGAAGATAAGCTCCTTGGCCAGGGCCACACCCAGGCAGCGCGGCAGCCTCTGAGTTCCTCCTGCAGGATGGAGGGGCAGGGGTTGGGGAAGCAGGGTGAGAGAAGTGGGAACTCAGAGGAGCAGTGTGCGTTAGGATGGGGCCCAGGACACAGCCAAAGGAACACAGCGGGAGTGGCAGGTGGAGCAGAGCAGGTGCTGCAGGTGAGTTACCTGCCCCTGGGAGCAGCCCTCGGGTAGTCTCGATCAGCCCCATGACGGCCGTGGAAGCTGCGGAAACAACAGAGTGAAGCTGCCTCCCCCTGCCCTCAGCCTTCTCCCCCTTGAGACCCACCTCCCATCACCTCTGCTGCTGCTTCCTGAGCCTGTAAGGTGGGAAGAAGGTGACTGGCCCTCTCCTGCCTGCTTCAGACAGCTGCTAAGACTCAGGTAAGGTAAGGGTGTGGGAACAAGGCAGCCATTCTAGAAAATGCCTGACACTATTTGTGCATTGATGGATCCTGGGTCTCCTGTACCCATAGCTCCGGCCTGGCTGACAGCGTCCGTGACTCCTGCTCCTGCCAGGATTACCGCGTTTCAGCCTGCGTCCTCCCAAGTTCCACTTCTGGGAAGTTCCTGGCCGAGTCCTCCAGATCTTCCCAGCGCAGGCCATTACAACCCCGGGGAGGGGGCTCATGGGAGTGGCTCGCCAGGGTTCTGCACCCTGCCCTTGCTGAAACCTGGGCGGCCTGCGGCTATGACCTGACCACCTGGTCAGTTCCCTGTCCCTGACACGCACTGTGTAGATGAGATGACCTTTGTGCCTGAGGCGTTTGCAGCGAGCGTGCCAGGTGGCACCATGGTAGCCTCAAGAGGGGCTGTCCTCACCAAGTCAGTCGTGGAAAGGTTATCAATTAGCTTCTCATCCCCTCCAGTCTGCAAAACAGGCTCAGCTGCTCAGACCTGAGCCAGTGCCAGGGAACTGAAGAACAAAGTTCCTGCCCGGATACACTGGCGATGAGCTGTGCCCAGTGACTTATCACCCCCTTGGCTCACCTTTGGTCAAAACATGGGCAGCTGGGGAGGGGGTGGAGATCTGAGCTGGATGCATGCACGTGGCAGATTGGACATGGACCTTTGTCCTGCTTGGTGTTCCCTCTCCATGCACTTGGCTGTCCTGTTGGCAGGACAGTCACTGCAGGGACAAGGGAAGCAGCTTGTGACAGGTGATGGCTACTATAGCAGTTCTGGGCCAGGGGGCAAGCAGCTTCTGCCTGAAGCCACTGTGCCCCCTACCCTGCTTCCAGAAGGCCAGAGCAGGGCTCGACGTAAGGCCCCAAGACCTAGCCTGGTTCACCCTCCCCTCAGCCCCAGCCCAGTACCTGCCACTCGCAGGTCACAGGCCAGGGCAAGCTCCAGGCCTCCGCCCAAGGCAAAGCCGTCCATAGCTGCAATGGTGGGCGCCGGGAAGGCCGCTGTGGAGATGAAGATGGGCTCAATACGAGAGAGACTGAAGCTGGCAGAGAGCACCTCAAGGCTCCTCACCTGGTGGTACCTCTGCCAGGTTGACTGGGTTTCCCCCAGGGAAAGAGGGGATAGGCTGCCAGGTGCCTGCTCAGCCCCACCCTCCGGCTGACCTCCCAGCACTGGCTTTGAGGGAGTCAGGCAGTGATGACCCAAGGACATAAGTACTACAATCAAAGGAAGCCTGGAGAGTGCTGGGAAGGGTGACCTGAGGTAGCTAGGGTTACCTAGGCAAAAGAACAGGGATGCACATCTGGCTAACTGGACTCCTCTGAAATGGCCAGGCTTGAACCCTGATGGCAGGGAGTCAGCTGGGAGCTTGTGCTCTGTGAGAGGTGCACCCTGACCCTCTTGGGATTCCTTGTGCCCACCTGCTGGGAGAAGCATGTGTTCCCCTTCAGAGCTCCAACAGTAGAGCATGGTCAGGAGGGGCGGGGCCCAGCAGGCTCCACCCCACTCGCAGACACTCACCGATCTCATCCATTAGCCCTCGCAGTCGCTGCACGAAGATCCCCACCTCGGCGTTGCTCATCTGCTCCCGCTCCTTCAGGTCTGCACCTGCAGGCGGCCAGGGGTCGGAGCCAGCCCTTGGCAAGGTGGTTGATTATGGAATCCCAGGCAGATAGAAGATCAGCAAAGGAGGCTTGAGGGGAAGCAGGTGGAGAAGGAGAAGCACCAGGAACTGGTCAAGGAAGCCAGGGGAGGGGAGGAAGGGGGTGTGGCAACGGGAGCAGCACAGCAACAGCAGCAAAAGGCAACTTGAACTTCACCAAAAACACAAGCTCCAGTGCACTGAGGAACACTATGGAGAGTACCAGACAGCCCACGGAACAGGAGACGATCCTCCCAAGTCATACATTCAGTAAGGAATGCCACTGGATATACAAAGAACCCAACAACAAAGCAATCTGATTGAAAATGGGCTAAGAGCTGGAACAGACATTCTCCATAAAAGATATAAACAGCCAACAAGCACACGCAGACTCCGGGGAAATGTCAGACACCAGTGTTCACAGGGAAGCCAAAAGGTGAAAATAGCCAGGTGTCCATGAGCAGGTGGACGGGTAGGCCAACGTGGAATGTGTGTGGTGGAATATTACTCAGCCACCAAAAGGAATGAGATTCTGACAAGTGCTTCAATGTGGACAGCCCTTGAGGCTCTCTGCTCAGACACCTGCTTTTCTGTGGGTCTGGAGCATGTTCCCTCACTGTCTTCAAGACAGAAGTTCATGGTGATCACCCTGCTGTGAGGAGCAAGTGATGCCGGCACCCTGAAAGCTTTGGTGACAGCAGCCATCCTCTGGGTGGTTAAAGGGGTAGTGGGTCCCATTTGGCCACTGGCCTTGTGAGTGCTGTGAACTCAGTTTTCTCAGTGGAGGGTCAGAGCAAGGCATAAAGGAACAGAAAGAACTGGCATTCTTGGCCAGAGAGGCCAAGGTCCAACTGAATTCTCGTCTGCCTTTTACTAGCAGTGTGACCCTCTCAGAGTTCACATCTGCATGTGGGACACCATGCCCTGAGCTGGAACTGACTCAAGCCTCTCCTAACCCCCCGAGGGCTGCTGGTGCACTGGGCTGGGGACACAGAGGGCACCCACCTGCACAGAAGACGCCCTTCACTCCACTTCTGAAAAGCAGGACACGCACTCGCTGGTCCTCCCGCAGCCGGGCCAGAGCTTGCAGCAGCTGCAGGAACACCCGGTCAGAAGCCTGCCAGTCCAGTCCCCAGCCCACCCCATGGCCCTCCCCCGTGCCCTCCAGTCTCACCTCACTAACCAGGACGTTCCCCAGGGCGTTGCGGGCACGAGGTCTGTTCATCAGAATCTCGGTGATGCCTGCAGGGAGCAGAGCAGCCTCGGGTGAGCGGGCTGGGGGCTGCAGGAAGGAGGCCTGGGTTCTGGGCAGCCTCTGCCCTTGGTTCACAGTGCAACATGGGACAAGTCACACATTCAGGCCTCGGTTTTCTGAACTGCAAAATGGAGAAAGTCACCCTTGCCCTTTCTGTCTCACAAGAAGCCGAAGGGCTCAGGACCCATGGGGCAAAGTGGGTGAGGAACAAGAAGGAGCACCCCTGTGGCTCTTGCCTGCTCCCGCCATCGCCGGGCGCAGACACGCCTTCCATTCCCCAGCCCCCTCGGCAACACCGTGCTACTCACAACCCAACATCTGCCTCCAGCTGACAGCTACCCTTGTTACCACCACGCAGGACTAAGAAGGGGGAAGGCACCAACCACCCCAGAAACCCTACCGTGTGCCCAGACACAGCCATGGTCCTTTCTCCCCCACCCCACCAAAGTAACTCTCCTGACCTTCATTTCAATGATGTCATGTATTTCTTAATATAACTTTATCACCTGAATGTGCACAGACATGCGTTAGACTTGCTCATTAAAAAAAATAAATAAATAAAGATTATTTGAGAGAGTTAGAGAGAGATCTTCCATCTGCTGGTTCACTCCCCAGATGGCCGCAATGGCTGGGGCTAGGCCATGTGGGGTCTCCCATGTGGGTGGCAGGGGCTCAGCACTTGGGTCATGTTCTACTGCTTTTCTCACGCCATTAGCAGGGAGCTGGATCAGAAGTGGAGCAGCTGGGACTTGGACCAGCACCGATATGAGATGCTGGCACTGCAGGCAGCGGCTTGAGGCAGGCCACACCCTGGTCCTGACTGGCTCATTTTTAAAATGCTGATGTATCCCGTAAAATCCTGTGAAAATCCCCAGATTCTCCCTTTGGTCCTGTCTTTCCCTGTAGGGTTTCTCAAAGTCTGCGTTTGCTGAGCGCACACTCGGGTAAACCACATGTCCCTCTGGCACCAGTGATGAGCTGCTGACTCCAGAGGCTTGCTCACACCGTTCTGCCCTCTCTGGCACGCCAGGAGCCTTTGCCCTACTTGTGTGTTCTTCCCCAGCATCAGCCAAGATTACTGCAAGAGCTTGCTGTACTCGTTTAGTTGCCTTTATGGGAGACCAGGATAAGTACCTGGCTCCTGCCATCGGATCAGCACAGTGCGCCGGCTGCAGCGCGCCAGCCATTGGAGGGTGAACCAACGGCAAAGGAAGACCTTTCTCTCTGTCTCTCTCTCTCTCACTGTCCACTCTGCCTGTCAAAAAAAAAAAAAATTTTTTTTTTTTACAGAGCAACCGAGGGAGGGAAAGACAGGGAAAGTGATATTCCACCTACTGGTTCATTCCCCAAATGGCCACCACACAAGGACCAGACCAGATCAGACCAAAACCAGGAACTTGGAACTCCATACAGGTCTCCCACATGAGTGGCAGGGGCCCAAGCACTTAAGTCAACATCTGCTGCATCTCAGAATGCACTGGCCGGAAGCTGGATTGGAAGCAGAGGTGCCACGACTCAAATCAGCACTCCAATAGAGGGTGCAGGACTGCCAAGCAGCAGCTTAACCGCTGCACCGCAACACTTGGCCCATGGGAGACCCCTGCTATCCAGCATTTTAAAAAAAAAAAAAAAGCTACTTATTTGAAAGGCAGAGAGAGAAAGAGAGAGCAAGAAAAATCATTCATTTACTGGTTCACCCCACAAATGGCCACAACAGCCAGGGCTCGGCCAGGGTGAAGTCAGGAGCCTGGCACTCCATCCTGGCCTCCCACATGGCTGGCAGTACTGGGGCCATCTTCCACTGCCATCCCAGGCACATGCACAGGGATGCTGGATCAGGAGGGAGCAGGGGCCGGCATCACGTCGCAGAGGGTTAAGCTACTGCCTGTGACGCCAGCATTCCCTTAGGAGTGCTGTTTTGAGTCCCAGCTGCTCCACTTTCAATTCAGCTCCCTACTAATGGCCTGGGAAAGCAATGGAAGATGACTCAAGTCCCAAGGCCCCTGCCACCCACGAGGGAGACCCAGATGGAGTTCCAGGCTCTTGGTTTCTGCCCAGCACAGTCTTGGTCCCTTGTAGCCATTTGAGAAGTGAACCAGCAGATGCAAGATATCTCTGTCCCTCCTTCCCTCCCTCCCTCCCTCTCTCCTTCTCTCTCTCTCTCTCTTTCTTTCTCTCTCTCTGCCTTTCAAATAAATAAATAAATCTTAAAAAAAAAAAAAAGTGGAGCAGCAGGGACTCGAAATGGCTCTCTGATACAGGATGTCGGCACTGCAAGCGTCAGTTTAACCTGCTGTGTCAGCGCCATTCCCTACCCAGCTTTTAAGCATCAACGCTCCTGAATGGCCAATCAGGGATCTCTTTAATTGCCCACTTGCAGATGTATGTGTTTAACACGTGCTAGGCAGCCTGTTCCCTGTCCTCACAGAACCTACAGACGAGCAGAGAAGACAGACATTAAACAAGTACTGTTTGTGATGGGAACTCAGAAAAGGACAGGCAGGTAAGGGGCCTCTACTGGCAGAGGGGAGCCCTGGGGAGTGGGTGGAGCCTGTGACCCACTTCCGACCAGCGGAATGCAGCCAGGCGCCCGTTCAGCTGCATGGCCAAGGTGAGAAGTTGTTCCTTCTGTGATCAGGCCGTGGTACACGTGAGGTTCCGTCTTGTTAGAGGGGCCGGTAGACCACAGAGGGGTCATGGCGTAAGGGAGGAAGTGTGGGCAGCCTCTAGGAGCCACAAGGTGCACCAGCCAACTGTCAGCAAGAAAACAGGACTTGAGTGGTCGGCCCGCAGGAGGTGAACTCTCAACCACAGCGAAGTCTGGAGGCAGAGCTCCTCCCAGTCAGGCCTGGGATGCGCCCCAGCCCCGGCAGCTACTACAGGAAACCCAGGCCAACTTGTGCCTGGACTTCTGACGGACAGAACGGGAGTCACGCACAGGGTAACTGCTGGATGCAAATACGAGGTCTGTGCTCCAAGCTGGGACCCATAGACGGTGTCCTTGGCTTCCACTGATTGATCAGGCTGCATGGAGTCTGCACAGCATGCGCTGCTTCTTGCTCATCCAGCCCCAGTCCCGGCAACACTGGCACCAGCACTCCACACTATACCCTTCCCGCTGGTAGCAGACCCATCAGGCCACTGGCTGGTAACCTCCTGAGCAGCTGTGCTACAGGCATTCAGCCTGGACAGCCTGGATCACCGGCTGTGTGGTGTGTAACAGTGTTGTGGGGGAGGCAGCAGAAACCACTGGGAGGTAGTGTAGAGAACAACTGGCTTGCCAATCCCCTACAGAACAGAAGGGGAAACTGAGGCCCAGAAGAGAATCTGCTCGGCCGGCGCCGCGGCTCACTAGGCTAATCCTCCACCTAGAGGCGCCAGCACCCGGGTTCTAGTCCCCGGTTGGGGCGCTGGATTCTGTCCCGGTTGCCCCTCTTCCAGGCCAGCTCTCTGCTGTGGCCAGGGAGTGCAGTGGAGGATGGCCCAAGTCCTTGGGCCCTGTACCCCATGGGAGACCAGGATAAGTACCTGGCTCCTGCCTTCGGATCAGCGCGGTGCGCCGGCCGCGGCGGCCATTGGAGGGTGAACCAACGGCAAAGGAAGACCTTTCTCTCTGTCTCTCTCTCACTGTCCACTCTGCCTGTCAAAAAAAAAAAAAAAAAAAAGAAGAAGAGAATCTGCTCACCTAGTAGCTAGACCCAGCTAGCACTCCTCACTCTCAAAGAGCTATAGCCACCTCTAGGGACACAAGTCCAGACACATGAACATACAGGGACACACACAGGGCAATTGCAGGAAGAGTCACGTAGGCGGGGGGAAGGGACAGTGCAGCTGGAGCAAAACAGAGGCGGAAAACCTTAAAAGGAGCTCAGGAGTAGAAGAGAAAAGGGAGAATCAGGTGGTGGTGGAGAGCCTCCAATGCCCAGGGAAGACCCACCAACTGCTGGGAGCAGTGCGGTCAGAGCCCAGGGCCGCAGAGCCGACCAGCCAGGCTCCTCCTCCCGCACAACAGGAAAGCAGCGCCTCGCTCAGGGCCATCAGCGCCCGCGGCAGGTGGACGCTGTGGCCTCTCCTGGGCGAGTCCCCTCCTCTGCTTCTCCCTTCCCGAACTTCTCCCTCCTCGATGCCCTGTGGCCAAGGCAGGGACTTAACCTGTTGACCCATAAAAGGACTTCAAGTATCTGCAAGTGAACCCATCGTTCTTGAGCTGTGATAAGTTTACATTTACTGATGGATGAGCTTTGAGTCACTGAGTTTCTAGAACAGTCAGTGATAACCTAATGGCTGAGCAACCAGACTTTGAAATCAGACCTTGTTCACACTGCTTAACCCTCTGTGCCTCAATTTTTTCAAATATTTATTATTATTATTTTTATTTAATTTTTTATTTAATTGAGAGACACAGAGCTTCCATTTGCTGGTTCACTATCCAAGTGCTCACAATGGCTGGGGCTGGGCCAGGACCTGGGAACTCGATGCACGTCTCCCACCGGAGTGGCAGGGACCCAACCACCTGAGCCATCACCACTGCATGCCAGGATCTGCTTTAGTGGGAAGCTGGAGTTGGAGCTGGGACCTGAACCCAGGTACTGCAACATGGGCCCCAGGCCATCTTAATCACTGGACAAACGACCACCCCATGCAACAATGTCCTAACTCGTGGGGACAGTCACCCTAACTACCCAGAGGCAAGCACTGTTGCCAGTTTGGCAGTGAACCAAGCACATTCGCTGAGGCCCAGCAACCCCACCAGGTCAGAAATTCTTCCAGGTGACATGATGACACCCTGGCAGCCCAACAGAAGCTGTGGGTGCACGCAGGGAATTGCGTGCAACAGTGGGAAGCAAGGGTCACGATTTAGACGTCAACACAGCTCTTCAAAACTCAGTGTTGGCCGGCGCCGCAGCTCACTAGGCTAATCCTCCGCCTGCGGCGCCGGCACCCCAGGTTCTAGTCCTGGTTGGGGCGCCGGATTCTGTCCCAGTTGCTCCTCTTCCAGTCCAGCTCTCTGCTATGGCCTGGGAAGGCAGTGGAGGATGGCCCAAGTGCTTGGGCCCTGCACCTGCATGGGAGACCAGGAGGAAGCACCTGGCTCCTGGCTTCAGATTGACGCAGCGCTGGCCGTGGCAGCCATTTGGGGGGTGAACCAACAGAAGGAAGACCTCTTTCTCTCTCTCTCTCTCTCTCACTGTCTGTAACTCTGTCAAATAAATAAATAATAATCTAAAAAAAAAAAGTGTCAAGCAGATGAAACGAAATAAGATGGCATGGGGGCCGGTGCTGTGGTGTGGTGGGTAAAGCTGCCGCCTGCGGCGCTGGCATTCCATATGGGCATCGGTTGGAGACTTGGCTGCTCCACTTCCGATCCAGCTCTCTGCTATGGCCTGGGAAAGCAGTAGAAGATGGCCAAGCCTTGGGCCCCTGCACCCACGTGGGAGACCTGGAGGAAGCTCTTGGCTCCAGATCGGCACAGCTACGGCCGTTGCGGCCAATTGGGGAGTGAACCAGCGAATGGAAGACCTTCTCTCTTTCTTTCCTTCTCTCTCTCCCTCTCCCTCTCTCTTTCTCTCTCTGTGTAACCTGACTTTCAAATAAATAAATGAATCTTTGAAAGGAAGGGAGGGAGGGAGAAAGAAAGAAAGATGGCATGTACGGTACTGTGTCAAAGCTACATCAGAGGAACCCGTATGGGGTTGGGGAGAGCATAGAGACCCTAGGAGGGGCTTGCAACGGTGCGGTCACGGGCATTGGGCTCAATGAAGGGTGCATTGCGGTCAGCGCCACCGAAGTCCGCCAAAGTCCAAAAACACCACCACCACGCGCAGAGGTGCCCAGAACTCTGCCCTGGGGTCGGCGGGGCGCAGGCCTGGGAGCGGCCGCGGGAGCTGCGCGGCGAGCGCGCGCCCTCCCCCAGCCACCCTCCGCTCCCCACCCCTGCAGGTCTCGGTCCGCGCAGCGCCATTGGCTCTGCCGCCTCCGCCCCTAGGAGCTTTGCCAGGACCCTGGGCGGGGGAGGGGGACCGGCGCCGTAACCGTCCGAGCCTGGGGGCGCGGCCCCACCCCCGCAACGACTCCTCTCACTTCCATACAGTGTACCCAGAGCCACCAGAGGGACACAGGAGTCCCGCGCAGCCAAGTCGGGCAACCACCGCTCTCCCCAGGGCGCCCAGAGGAGCCTATACCGGGTGCCAGGCGAGCTGGACCCGACCCGCCCGCCGCCCCGAGCCTTGGTGTTCCCGCGTGTAGCGGGCGCGCTGGCGTCGCTCAGACCGTGGCGGCCGCGCTGCTAGCCCCGCGCACGCCCTGCCCCGAGGTCCCGTTCGGCGTCGTCCCAGCAGCTCCTAGACGCGCCAGGGCCCCGCGCTTTCACCTTCGTCTGGGCCCTCCAGGGCGCGCACTTGGATCTCGGGGGCTGGGCCCGCATCGCCGGAGGCGCATCCGCGAGCCAGAAGGGACCCCCAGGGGCGCGCAGCGCGCAGGGCGCGGGGCAGGGCACGCAGCATCGCGACGCAGGTTGGGAAGCTGGCGCGGAGCCGCGGGCTCGCGGTTCCGGCGACGAGTGAGGCCTGCGCAGATCGCTCCACCTACGAGCCGAAGTAGCTGTGCGCGGGGACTGGGTTGGGGGAAAGCGCCGCTTCGCTGTGAGGTCTGAGTCGAGGCTGCCAAGCGTCCGCGCCTCTGCGACGTGATCCGTAAACCAGGGATAATCTTGACTGCCTCCTGGGGTGGTGTGAAGATTAAATGGGCTGTGTGAACCTTGCGTACACACCTCCAAAGGTGCCACAAAAATTGTGGAAAATGGAATAGAAGATTGTTTCCTTGCAGAAAAACATTTGAGGGGCAGATGTTGCGGTGGAGTAGGTTAAACCCCCTTCACGGGGCTGGCTTAACCCCGCATCCCACATGGGATACAACTCCCTGCTAATGGCCTGGGAAAGCAGTGGAAGATGGTCCAAGTGCTTGGACCCCTGCACCCACATGGGAGACCCGGAAGAAGCACCTGGCTCGACTTCAGCTCTGACCATTGCAGCCATTTGGGGAGTGAACCAGCAGATGGAAGATCTCTCTCTCTCTTCCTCTCTCTGTAACTGTGACTTTCAAGTAAATAAATAAGTCTTTAAAACAAAAACCAAAAAGCACTCCTCTCTTGGCTTGCAATGCTGGCCTCTCACATCAGAGGGCCACTTTTGAGTCCCAGCTACTTCACTTCCAATCCAGTCACCTGCTAATGGGCCTAGGAAGGGGGGGGAAGATGGCTCAAGTACTTGGGTTCCTGTCACTCACATTAGAGATCTGGATGGAGTTCCTGGCCCCGACTTTGGCATGGCCCGGGCTGTTGTATTTGCACAGTGAATCAGCACATAAAAAGTGTGTGTGTGTGTGTGTGTGTGAGAGAGAGAGAGAGAGACTCTGTCTTTCAAATGAATAAATAAGTAGATCTTAAAAAAAAAAAAAGTAAAATCCAGAGCCAGTGCTGTGGTGCAGCAGGTTAAAGCCCTGGCCTGCAGTGCCAGCAGGGTGCAGGGGCCCAAGGACTTGGGCCATCTTCTACTGCTATCCCAGGCCATAGCAGAGAGCTGGATAGGAAGAGGAGCAGCCGGGACTCGAACCAGTGCCCATATGGCATAGCTAGTGCTTCAGGCCAGGATGTTAACCTGCTTTGCCACAGCGCTGGCCCCTGAAAACACTGTGTATGTTAACTGAAAAATCAGTCTAGTTTGAAATACATAGCTAAAATCTATTCAGAGAGTCACACTGAGGATTTAAACCTGCAAAGAAGCAGAGAGTTGCCGGAGCTGACTGTTCAGCGAGCCTGAGTATGGTTCCAGGTGGTACGGCTTTCTTCCAGGGTGAGCACATGCACCGAGTCGGGTTGAAACAAGGCAGGTTTGTGTGTGGCTCTCAGTCACTTTGAAACTCAAAGAAGACCTATGGAAAACAAGAACACCTGGGAACAGGGAGCAGACTTGATTGTTGATGCAGGAGGGGCCTTCCATCCCACACTCCTCCTCCTGCGGGTGTTACCTATGCACAGGGAGAGACAAACACCAGGCTCAGCAATCAGCCTTCCTCCAAGCGCCCTAGGAAGGCAGGCTCACTCCTTCCTAAGGTACAGAGGCGATTTCCTTGCTCTTGGTTGATCTGTTTCCTTGGTCATGGCTGAGATTTACTGAAAGGTGCTGTTACCTGAAACCAGCTGCAGAGGTAGCAGCTTGGCTGACTAAGGCTTCTGCAGGATTTAAGTTACATGTGGATTTCTATTTAAAAAAAAAAAAAAAGATTTATTTATTTGAAAGGCAGAGTAACACACACACACACTCAGAATCAGAGAGATCTTCCATCTGCTGATCTACTCCCCAAATGCCCACAATGGTTGGGGCCAGGCCAGGCTGAAACTAGGAACCAGGAACTCCAACTGGGTCTTCCACTTGGGTTGTAGGGGCCCAAGCACTTGGGCCATCTTCCGCTGCTTTCCCAGGTGCATTCTCAGGGAGCTGGATGGGAAGCAGAGCAGCCAGGACTTGAACCGATGCTCTGATATGGGACGCCAGCATCACAAGTTAAGCCACTGTGTCACAATGCTGGTCCCACATTTCAAAACTATTTTAACAGAAGTAAGCTTAGCCACTCTGGCCTCAGAATCAGCCCTTAAGGCATTCGGATCTGGCTAAAAAGCCCATGAGAGTTTCTCAGGCATGGAAAGCCAAGACACTGTGGCAAAAAATTACCTAAATGAAAGATCTCTGTGAGTGAGATCCTGGTGGAAAGAAGAGGCCATCGAAGAAGGCGGTACCCTTCTCTGAAGGGAGGAGAGAACTTCCACTTTGACTATGGCCTGTCTAAATAAGGTCGGAGCTTGTGAACTCAAGAGGCTTCCATAGCCTTGGCAGCTCATGACAAGCGCCTTGGGTGATTGCTGAAGTCATAAACAAGAGTGTCAATGGTTAAATCAACAACAGGAGTCACTGTGCACTTAATCCCCATGTGGGATCTCTGTCCTTAATGTGTTGAACTATGTGAATTAACGGCATAGCTAGTACTCAAATAGTACTTTATACTTTGTGTTTCGGTGTGGGTGCAAACTGTTGAAATCTTTACTTAGTATATACTAAGTTGATCTTCTGTATATAAAGATAATTTAAAAATGAATCTTAAGAATGGGATGGGAGAGGGAGTAGGAGATGGGATGGTTTGCAGGAGAGAGCGTGGTTATGGGAGGAAAAACTGCTATAATCCAAAAGTTGTACTTTGAAAATTTATATTTATTAAATAAAAGTTTTCTAAAACAAAAAAAGAAGAAGAAGAAGAAGAAGTAAGCTTAGGGGCTGGTGCTGTGATGTAGTGGGCTAAATCTCTGCCTGCAGTGCCGGCATCCCATATAGGCGCCGGTTCTAGTCCCAGATGCTCCTCTTCCGATCCAATTCTCTGCCATGCCCTGGGAAAGCAGTAGAAGATGGCCCAATTGCCTTGGCCCTGCACCCACGTGGGAGACCCGGAGGAAGCTTATGGCTCCTGGGTTCAGACTGGCTCAGCTCCGGCCACTGCAGCCATTTGGGGAGTGAACCAGCAGATGGAAGACCTTTCTCTTTATCCCTTTCTCTGTAACCCTACCTCTCAAATAAATAAATAAAGTATTTTTTAAAAATTAGGCTTATCCTTAATTCTATTTCCCCATGAACTTTTGGAAGCCCCCTCATATGCTTAATGAATGTCACTTCATCTTTTTTTTTTTAATTAATTTATTTATTTGAAAGGCAGAGTTACAGAGAGAGGTAGAGACAGAGAGAGAGAAGTCTTCCATCTGCTGGTTCAGTCCCCAAATGACCACAAGGTCCAGAGCTGAGCCGATCTGAAGCCAGGAACTAGGAGCTTCTTCCAGGTCTCCCATGTGGGTGCAGGGGCCCAAGGGGCTGCTATCCCAGGCACATTAGCAGAGAGCTGGAGTGTAGAGCAGCCGGGACTTGAACCCACATCTGTGGAATGCCAGCACTGCAGGCAGGGTCTTTAACCCACTGCTCCACAGCACTGGCTCTGGATTTTATATATATATATTTTTTAAGATCTACTTATTTATCCGTTTGAAAGACAGAGTCCCCCCACCCACACACACACACTTTTTATGTGCTGATTCACTGTGCAAATACAACAGCCCGGGCCATGCCAAAGTCGGGGCCAGGAACTCCATCCAGATCTCTAATGTGAGTGACAGGAACCCAAGTACTTGAGCCATCTTCCCCCCCCTTCCTAGGCCCATTAGCAGGTGACTGGATTGGAAGTGAAGTAGCTGGGACTCAAAAGTGGCCCTCTGATGTGAGAGGCCAGCATTGCAAGCCAAGAGAGGAGTGCTTTTTGGTTTTTGTTTTAAAGACTTATTTATTTACTTGAAAGTCACAGAGAGAGAGAGAGAGAGATCTTCCATCTGCTGGTTCACTCCCCAAATGGCTGCAATGGTCAGGGCTGAACCAGGTTTAAGTCGAGTCAGGATCTGGATCAGAAGCGGAGCAGCTGAGTCTCGAACCAGCACCCATATCGGATGCCGGCACTGCAGGCAGCGGCTCCTGTCAGTTCATCTTTTTAAAAAGTCATTGTATTAGTCATTTGGGCATTGACTATGCTCACTCACTTCACTACCTGACCTTCCCTTTGTGCCTCTCATTTAGCGGGAGGTACGGTTACTGTGTGCTAATTACAAGTAAAAAAAAAAATTGTGGGAGGTGAGGCAGTGAAATTAGCACTCAGCTCCCCTTAAACGTGCATCTCCCATTAAATGTAATGCTTGTCCCAATTCAACACTCAATAAATTGGTTTTCAAAAAATATCTGTCGCAGCCCAGCCAGAGAACCCTCTGCTCTGAAACTGAAACTCGAGAGGAGCTGGTGAGGAGGAATTTTACACCACTACACCTAAGACCAAAGGCGCTGAGGCACTCGCTCTCCTGCTACAGCTGCTACATTGCATCTCACGCTTGATGGCAGACAGAGGCTTAACCTACTAAGCCACAACGCTGGCCCGCACTTTGACTTCTTACCTCTTTGAGGGGCCAGGACCTGATTCAGAAATTAAGGCACACAGGCCGACATCAGGCGCCCATGGCAGAGAGCAGAAAGAGCTGAGGTCAAGTTCTCCTGGCTCTTACAAGAGCAATGATTGTACTCACGAGGGTTCTACATTTGTGACCTAATTATCTCCCCAAGTCTCTGCCTCCGAATACCCTCACTTTGGGGACTAGGCCTCAATGCATGAATTTTGGGGACACACAAACATTCAGTCCATAGCAAGAACCAAAATGTCAAGGACCAAGCCACTCTGGAGTGGGATGGTCTGATTCTACTGCTTCTCTTGGGCTCCTTTTGTCCTGAGGTTTCCACGTGGCTGAGCTGACACGGCTGCCTCAAGCTTGCTCAACTCTCCATGGCTTCTTAGCTTCAGCTCTCACTGCTGTCAAGCCTGATCCAAATCCGTATTTCAGGAGAGTTTCTGATAGGTCTCCATGGCAGCTACCCATCCTGGACACAATCACCTAGAGTTATGAGGGTTACGCATGCCCAAATGTGGTCACCAGGGCCACCGAGGGTGTGTCCTCTTAGGAATGGCATGGGCGGAGCAAATGTTCAAGCTGTCCGCACTGACTGAGGGGAGCCAGTGGGGGGAGAACTGACTTCAATCTGGAGGTCGATGCATTTGAGAGGATGCTGAGCCAATCAGAGGA